CAGGGAAATTGCTGGATTGAAGCTGAGAAATGGAAAAAGCTGGCGTTGCTAATTTACCTTTCACTGGGTTATTTTATTTTAATCTTGTTTTTGGCTGGAGTTCTGCTTTAAAAAAGGCACTGGCAAACAGAGGTTTTCACTTAAAAAAATTCACAATTATTCAAAAAAAGTTTAATCAAAATGTATTTAAAGATAAAACTTTTTCTTTCTTAGTTTAGGATATGTTTTTTTTTTTTTGCAAACTGTGTCCTATTAAGAATAGATCCCTTCACTTTCTTTCCTGTAGACACAACTTTTCCTTGCAGTGGTCACCAAGATGCATAGAGAGGGTGACTCTCCTTAGTAGGGAAACTGACAGATATGGTCCTTGCTCTACCTCAGAAGAAGTGCGTGCGCACGAAACGCGGCAGCAGGAGCCTGTGGACGTCGTTGACACTATGCCGCCACCTTTAATTTTAAGAGGGTCAGTGGGTCACTTTCACTTGCCACCTGATTACATGTTTTTTACTTGGTTTTTTGAAATAAATTGAAGTAATATACTACACTATGAGTATCTCTTTGTGTTCTCTGTGAGGGGTCTCTCTCCCAATTTCACAGCCACAGAGTGATTTCAATCCCAGCCCTGGTTCCATTGAAGAGGAATATCCTATCCTGGGAGCTTCCTGGCCTGCAGGATTTCGCTTTTCCACAAGAGGGCGTTATCATCATCCATTTCAGCACATATCCTGGAGAGGGGAATCTCCAGGATTTCTTACACACATGCGTACTTTAAATGCGCTTCTGGTTAGTTTGCATTCTTTCCATTGACACTGGGAATTAATGAGCACCTTTTCAGGACTATTATTGTGTTGATTTGCATGATTTGATCATTTTACAGCACTGCATTTTATATGTATATGTTTTATTGAGGATTTTTATATGTGTTTATCCTGGATGTTCAGCTGCTGTTTCTTTGAGAGCGCTCACTGTGTGTCTTTTACCTATACAGATATAAAAATGTGACAGCGGTTCTGATCCTTCATCACTCAATACAAAACAAAACAATAAAAATTGGCTTTAGAACCACTTTAAAGCTGGCCATAGATGGGGAACGAAAAATTCTTAAGATAAGAACATTTAAGAATGTTTGTAATCATTAGTGGGGTCAAATCAACAATCTTTTTGGATGCAGTTACGAGAACATTCAAAGAAGCAGGATGGAAATTTTTTCTTGAATGTATGTGGTTTTCGTCCATTAATTCCAAACTCAAATATTAAAGACAAACTAAACCTTTTGAATTACCTTTGAATGTTCTGAGAATTGTACAAATTTAATATTTACTCAAAATTCTGTCTGTCTATGGCCAGCTATAAAATGTAAAATGAACTACATGAACCTGTGTAGTTATTTGCAGTTATTTGTTACTCTTCAACGTGCAAAGTGACCTTTAGGTGGCTTGTCCTCTTACAGGAACAAATTACAAGCTATTATTAAAAACACAAGTGATTGTTGCTGCATGTCTACATAAAAATCACACTCATCATAGATACACCGAACTCTCCAAGGTATTGCCTTCCTTCAAAACAGCTCTTGGCTATAACATTGCAGGCTACCCTGGGAAAATGGCAGCCAATCACCTGTCAGTACATATGTGCCAAGCTGTGTTTACTGTGTGTGTCACACCACGGGCCCCCTGGGGTAAGAACAGCTCCAAGTCTGAATGATACTTCTGTTATCTGCATTAAATAACACCAAAGCATGCACAGGGAAGTGTTAAGTATGGTGAGAAGAGAAGAAAAATCCCACCCCCCTAATATAAAGGTTTTCTAAATAAAACAAATACCTAAGTAATAAATTCAAATTTAGCAGACATTTTTTTTTTTGCCTGGAAAGTATTAATCACAACTAAGGAAAATCTATTTAACTTTGGATTTCATTTTCCACTAGGACCTGCCATTCCTTTTCACACCCAGGCACATACGAAATATTAAAAAGGTTCTTAAAAGTAATTTGAAAAGCAAATAATGTAAGTATTTGAAGCCCCCTTCTTCATTCCCTTCCCTCCATTCTCTCTTTTCCATCCCTTCCTTCCCACACTCGTCCCCTTTCCACTTTGTACTTATTCATTGCCTCCCAGCCTTCCTTCCCAACCTTTCTTCCCTCACTTCCCACCCTGCCTTCACAACCTTTTCTTCCCTCCTTTCCCCCTTCCTTCCCAACCTTTCCACCCTTCCTTCCCAAGCTTTCTTCCCTCACTTCCCACCCTGCCTTCACAACAACCCTTCTCCCACTCCCCCCTCCCACCTTTCCTTCAAACACTCCCTCCATCCTCTATCATCCTTCCTTCCCTCCCCTCCCACCCCCCTCCCCCCCCCCCCCACATCTTTCTTCCACTCCCAGCTTTACTTCCCAACCCTTCTTTGCTCCCCTTCCCACCCTCCTTCCGAACACCTATTCATCCCCTCCCACCCTTCCTTCTCAGTGCCTCTTTCCTCCTTTCCCACCCTTCCTTCACAACCCTTATTCCCTCCTTCCCAACCTTCCTTCCCTCATCTCCCACCCTACCTTTACAACAACCCTTCCCCCCCACTCCCCTCCCACCCTTCCTTCCCAAAACTCCCCCTCCCTCCTCTATCATCCTTCCTTCCCAACTCTTCTTCCCCCCCCCCCCACCCTTCCTTTCCCACACATCTTTCGTCCACTCCCCTTTCCTTCCCAACCCTTGTTTCCTTCCCAACACTTATTCATCCCCTCCCTTCCTTCTCAGCACTTCTTCTGTCCCCCCCTCCTTCCTAACACTCCTTCCCTTCCCTACCACCCCCTTTCCATCACTTCTTTCCTCTCCTCCCACCCTCCTTCCCAATACTTATTCATCCCCCTACTACCCTTCCTTCTCAACACTTCTTATCCTTCCCTCCCACCCTTCCTTCCCAACACATATTCTCTCCTCTCCCACCAACCTTCTCAACACTTATTCATCCTCTCCCACCCTTCTTTTCCCCACATCCCCCCCCTTGCTTTCCCCCCCTTATTTCCTCTCCTCTATCACCCCCCCTTCTCTATCACCCCTTTCCCCCCCCCCCCTTCCCTCCCCTCCCCTCCCCTCCCATCCTTACTTCCCACACATCTTTTGTCCACTCCCATCCTTCCTTCCCAACCCATCTTCCCTCCTCTCTCCCACCCTCCTTCCCAACACTTATTCATTCCCTCCCACCCTGCCTTCGCAACAACTTTTCCTCCCCTCCCACCCCCCCCTCACCACCCATCCTTCCCAACACTCCCCCCCCCCCTCCTCTCTCTCCCCCCCCCCCACTTCCCCTCCTCTACCCTCTCCCCTCCCTTCCCCCCCTCCTTCTCAACACCTATTCATCCCCTCCCACCCTTCCTTTTCATCACTTCTTCCCTTCTCTCCCCCCTTCCCAACCCATCTTCCCTTTCCTCCCACCATTCCCCCCAACCCCCCCCATCTTCCTGTCCACTCCCATCCTTCCTTCCCAACCCTGCTTTCCTCCTCCCCCCCCTCCTTCTCAACACTTATCCATCCCCCCCCCCCCCTCCCCCCCCCCCTAACCCTTCTTCCCTGCTTCCACTCCCCCCCCTTCTCAACCATTCTTCCCCTCCTCCCACCATTCCTTCCCCAACACCACTCCCTCCCCCTCCCACCCTTCCTTCCCAACACACTTTTCGTCCACTCCCCCCATCCTTCCTTCCCAACCCTTATTTCCTGCCCTCCCCACCCTCCTTCCCAACACCCCTTTCCTCTCCCTCCCCCACTCCTTCCCAGCACTTGGTCATCCTATCCTTCCTTCTCAACCCATCTTCCCTCCTCCCCCGTCCTTTCATCCCAACACTCCCTCCCTCCTATCTCACCCTTTCTTCCCCCCCCTTCTTCCCTCCTCTCCCATCCTTTCTTTCCAACTCTTCTTCCCTCCTCTCCCACCTTCCTTCCCAACACTTATTCATCCCCTCCCACCCTTCCTTCCTTTCCCTCTCACTTACCCTTCCCAACACTTCTTCATTCCCCCCTCCTTCCTCCCGACCTTCCTTCCCGAAACTTTTTCCTCCTTTCCCCTTCTTCCTTCCATACTATTACACAACTATTTTTAGGACACCTTGTCCTTTACACAATAAACAACACAGAATATCAAGGGGTCAGGATTTGGGGCACCCAAATTAAACTAAAATGGGAACAAAACACAATGCACCTATAACAGTCTTAGTTTTTATTATTAACGTTAGCCCTTATAGTTAAAATATATAGCAATATTTTAATATATTGATTAATATTCATTAAACATAAAATATTCACTTACATTTTACATAAACAAACAACTCCTAAACTAAAATGAAAAACCAGGAGGAAAGAAAAAAAAAAAAGGAGCAGCCAATCAAAAGCCAGATAAGACTTTTAAACCTGCATTGCAAAAAAGACAGCTGAAATTAGATTGGCTGATTGGGTGTCATATTCCTTTCCTCCGTTTTTTTTAATAATGTGTCCCACAGCAACGAGTGGACATAAAAGTGTTTCTGTGTAAATGTTTCTTTATTGGGCTTATTCAATAAGGCATAAGGCAATGTAAAAAGTACAGTAGCTGTGGGCAACCACTCTTTATATGTTCTGACTACAATAAGCTGAAATCTGACCAGTTGCTGTCATTTACCACACTGGCCACATCTCTTTTGCTCTTTGCAATGCGTTATCAGATAAGCCTTTATAGGTTAAAAGTGTAAGAAAATAGAATTTATATTAGTCTCAGTCTAAATAATAAGGTGATGTGTGGTAGGCTCAAGCAGTAGTTTGTGACGATGCTGGTAATCTTTAACCATCGCTGGGATCTGCTCAGCACAGATGATAGATAACCAAACTAACAAGCCGAAGCCGGAAATTTGTGAATTAGAGGAGATACTACATGGCGTGTACTCTCATAAGTCATAGCACAGGGCTTGACCCTTTGCAGTCATACTCAGTACCACTATCAAAACATATATCCCCAGCAGAAAGAATGGCAAATCCAATCGATTACTTATTGCTGATTTTGCAAAACAACACGAGCGAGACAATCATGGCTGCAAGCTGCAAGGCAAACACAGAATAAAACATTTATTTCATTTATAAAACCAAGCCAACCAAAAAAACTTTTGAGCACTTTGCACAGTACATAGATCATTTATGGTAGAGCCCACCCCTGCAGAGCTCACAGTCTAATACCTTACTTCAGTAATGTACTGTATATACAAACATGGGATAACTTTGGGATAAGTACTAATTACTTAGCCAGCATATTGCCCTCTATGTCCAGAGAGATACTGTCAGGAATGGACTCAGCACTGGTGGTGGGACTCACCTGCCGTGTGGGATGCAGTACCAGGGCTGACCAGCGGGTGCTCTCAGCAGCCAGAAGCTCACTCCTGTAGTCAGCCAACACCTGGGGCTGATTGCAGGAGGTGTATTTAAGGAATGACCAGGCCTGTGATCAGGGCTTTGGTGTATGTTTCCCATGAGCCCCTGTATCTGGTATCCTGTGTTCCTGCCTCGTTGCTGACCCTGCTTTGATCCTGACCTCTGCTGACCGTCTCCTGTTGAACCCCTGGCTTGCCTGACCATCCTTCTGCCTGATCCTCAGTACCGCGCTGCCCGCTACCTGCTGAACCTGGCTTGTGACCCCGACCATTCTCTGCTTGCTCCTCCTGTATCACGCTGCCCGCACGATACCGACCCGGCCTGTCTGACTACGCTTACTTCACCCGACGATTCATCCATCCCGCACGGATCACCTTTAGTAAGTCTGCCTGCCTCTTCCCATCAGACTCCGTTCCTGCACTCCCCTGCCAGTACTCTCTACCACAGCCGGACGCACTCAGGGGTCGCGACCTGGTTCCAGTCTGCACTAAGTCCATCCCCACCATCAGGGGCCCTGGTGAATAGCAGGCTGGAACTTAAGACCCCGTGCCCTGAGGAAATCCGTGCTGTGGGCTGCTAGAGACACTGCCAGGCGGCACCTGATAGTACCTTACGGCCTGCCTGGCCATTCCACCTCTCCAGCCTGATTACGCCTGTGTTCCTGAAGCCTGCTACTTCCCTGTGTCAGTCCACACATTTCTGGTCATACCCGGATCCCTAACAGATACTAACATGTATATAGTTACATAGTTTTATAGTCTGGCTGAAAAAAAGACAAAAGTCCATCCAGTTCAACCATTAAGAAAAAAAAAAGTTATAATCCTACACCCACAGTTGTTCCAGAGGAAGGCAAAAACCCCAGCAAAGCATGATCCAATTTGCTCCTGCTGGAAAAAAAATTCCTTCCTGATCCCCCGAGAGGCAATCGGATATTCCCTGGATCAACTTTATCTATAAATAATGTATATGTGATTCAAGTTTAGTTTGTGTTATTCTGAACTAGCTGGAGAGTTATTTGATTTCCACTTTTTAATGGTCAATTCAGTAATAATTACATTGGGAGAATTGTCAATTCATACATTTTTGATTCACTAGACTATTTTTATATTTCAGGGAATCAGAAAATGTAGCAACTGGAAGTTGTGAAAAAAATATTAAATTCACAGATCTCCCTGTTTTTCACATTGATTTGATTATCTTGGATTTCTAATAATAGCTTAGGGGGTGATATGTGGCTCACTGATACTTTTAAAGTGATCCATTTGGCAGGTAAGATATTTTAGCTTGTGGTGCCCTTGTAAAACACATGTTGAATATTTACCTATCCATCCAGAGGTATGTGAAATCTTCACTGTCTTTGTGCTCTGTATGCAAAGGTGTGCAAGATAGTGTACCCCCCACCGATGCAATGGTTCTCACTAGAGATGAGCGAATCGAACCTGGCGAAGTGGAATTCGTTTCGAATATCAGGAAAAATTCGATTCGCATCGAATCCGAATTTTAGCAAACTTCGGGTGCACGAATCGAATTTTTCCCGATCAGCCGGCAAAAGTGTCACTGCAGAGAGCTCCGCTATTTCTGACAGTTCTGACAGTTCATTTACAGCGGTTGAAACATTGTATCTATTTGTTTCCATTTTAGATACAGATGTTTTTATTCGGAAATAAATAGATACAATGTTTCAACCGTGAAGGAAATGTCAGAGAACTGTCAGAAATAGCGGAGCTCTCTACAGATACACTTTTTTCTGTACTGGAATTCTTCTTCTTTTCATTCTTCTTCTTCTTTTCATTCTTCTTCTTCTTCTTCTTCTTCTTCTTCTTTTCATTCTTCTTTTCATTCTTTCTTCTTTTCATTCTTCTTCTTTTCATTCTTCTTTTCATTCTTCTCATTCTTCTTTTCATTCTTCTTTTCATTCTTCTTCTCATTCTTCTTTTCATTCTTCTTCTTCTTTTCATTCTTCTTCTTCTTCTTTTCATTCTTCTTCTCATTCTTCTTTTCATTCTTCTTCTTCTTCTTTTCATTCTTCTCATTCTTTTCATTCTTCTTCTTTTCATTTCTTCCTCTTCTTTTCATTCTTCTTTTCATTCTTCTTCTTCTTCTTTTCATTCTTCTTTTCATTCTTCTTCTTCTTCTTTTCATTCTTCTTCTTTTCATTCTTCTTCTTCTTCTTTTCATTCTTCTTCTTCTTCTTTTCATTCTTCTTTTCATTCTTCTTCTTCTTCTTTTCATTCTTCTTTTCATTCTTCTTCTTCTTCTTCTTTTCATTCTTCTTTTCATTCTTCTCATTCTTCTTTTCATTCTTCTTTTCATTCTTCTTCTCATTCTTCTTTTCATTCTTCTTCTTTTCATTCTTCTTCTTTTCATTCTTCTTCTTCTTCTTTTCATTCTTCTTCTTCTTCTTTTCATTCTTCTTTTCATTCTTCTTCTTCTTCTTCTTTTCATTCTTCTTCTTCTTCTTTTCATTCTTCTCATTCTTCTTTTCATTCTTCTTCTCATTCTTCTTTTCATTCTTCTTCTTCTTCTTCTTCTTTTCTTCTTTTCATTTTCATTCTTCTCATTCTTCTTTTCATTCTTCTTTTCATTCTTCTTCTCATTCTTCTTTTCATTCTTCTTCTTCTTCTTTTCATTCTTCTTCTTCTTCTTTTCATTCTTCTTTTCATTCTTCTTCTTTTCATTCTTCTTCTTCTTCTTTTCATTCTTCTCATTCTTCTTTTCATTCTTCTTCTCATTCTTCTTTTCATTCATCTTCTTCTTCTTTTCATTCTTCTTTTCATTCTTCTCATTCTTCTTTTCATTCTTCTTTTCATTCTTCTTCTCATTCTTCTTTTCATTCTTCTTCTTCTTTTCATTCTTCTTCTTCTTCTTTTCATTCTTCTTCTTCTTCTTTTCATTCTTTTTCTCATTCTTCTTTTCATTCTTCTTCTTTTCATTCTTCTTCTTCTTCTTTTCATTCTTCTTTTCATTCTTCTCATTCTTCTTTTCATTCTTCTTTTCATTCTTCTTCTTCTTCTTCTTTTCATTCTTCTTTTCATTCTTCTTTTCATTCTTCTTTTCATTCTTCTTCTTCTTCTTTTCATTCTTCTTTTCATTCTTCTTCTTCTTCTTTTCATTCTTATTTTCATTCTTCTTCTCATTCTTATTTTCATTCTTCTTCTTCTTTTCATTCTTCTTCTTCTTTTCATTCTTCTTCTTTTCATTCTTCTTCTTCTTCTTTTCATTCTTCTTCTTCTTCTTTTCATTCTTCTTTTCATTCTTCTTCTTCTTTTCATTCTTCTTCTTCTTCTTTTCATTCTTCTTCTTCTTCTTTTCATTCTTCTCATTCTTCTTTTCATTCTTCTTCTCATTCTTCTTTTCATTCTTCTTCTTCTTCTTTTCATTCTTCTTCTTCTTTTCATTCTTCTTCTTCTTCTTTTCATTCTTCTTCTTCTTTTCATTCTTCTTCTTCTTCTTTTCATTCTTCTTCTTTTCATTCTTCTTCTTCTTCTTTTCATTCTTCTTTTCATTCTTCTTTTCATTCTTCTCATTCTTCTTTTCATTCTTCTTTTCATTCTTCTTCTCATTCTTCTTCTTCTTCTTTTCATTCTTCTTTTCATTCTTCTCATTCTTCTTTTCATTCTTCTTCTCATTCTTCTTTTCATTCTTCTTCTTCTTCTTCTTTTCATTCTTCTTCTTCTTTTCATTCTTCTTCTTCTTCTTCTTTTCATTCTTCTTTTCATTCTTCTCATTCTTCTTTTCATTCTTCTTCTCATTCTTCTTTTCATTCATCTTCTTCTTCTTTTCATTCTTCTTTTCATTCTTCTCATTCTTCTTTTCATTCTTCTTCTCATTCTTCTTTTCATTCTTCTTCTTCTTCTTCTTTTCATTCTTCTTCTTCTTCTTTTCATTCTTCTTTTCATTCTTCTTCTCATTATTCTTTTCATTCTTCTTCTTCTTCTTTTCATTCTTCTTCTTCTTTTCATTCTTCTTCTTCTTTTCATTCTTCTTTTCATTCTTCTTCTTCTTCTTTTCATTCTTCTTCTTCTTCTTTTCATTCTTCTTTTCATTCTTCTTCTTTTCATTCTTCTTCTTCTTCTTTTCATTCTTCTTCTTCTTCTTTTCATTCTTCTTCTTTCATTCTTCTTCTTCTTCTTTTCATTCTTCTTCTTCTTCTTCTTTTCATTCTTCTTCTTCTTCTTTTCATTCTTCTTTTCATTCTTCTTCTTCTTTTTTCATTCTTCTTTTCATTCTTCTCATTCTTCTTTTCATTTCTTCTTCTTCTTCTTTTCATTCTTCTTCTTCTTTTCATTCTTCTTCTTCTTCTTTTCATTCTTCTTCTTCTTCTTTTCATTCTTCTTTTCATTCTTCTTCTTTTCATTCTTCTTTTCATTCTTCTTTTCATTCTTCTTCTCATTCTTCTTTTCATTCTTCTTCTTCTTCTTTTCATTCTTCTTTTCATTCTTCTCATTCTTCTTTTCATTCTTCTTTTCATTCTTCTTCTTCTTCTTCTTTTCATTCTTCTTCTTCTTTTTCATTCTTCTTTTCATTCTTCTTCTTCTTCTTTTCATTCTTCTTCTTCTTCTTTTCATTCTTCTTTTCATTCTTCTTCTTTTCTTTTCATTCTTCTTCTTCTTTTCATTCTTCTTTTCATTCTTCTTCTTCTTCTTCTTTTCATTCTTCTTTTCATTCTTCTTCTCATTCTTCTTTTCATTCTTCTTCTTCTTCTTTTCATTCTTCTTTTCATTCTTCTCATTCTTCTTTTCATTCTTCTTTTCATTCTTCTTCTCATTCTTCTTTTCATTCTTCTTCTTCTTCTTTTCATTCTTCTTCTTCTCCTTTTCATTCTTCTTTTCATTCTTCTTCTTCTTCTTTTCATTCCTCTTCTTTTCATTCTTCTTTTCATTCTTCTTCTTCTTCGTCGTGCCCCGTGACTGCCCAAATGAGTGAAGTGTGCGGTGATTCTAAGATCGACGGCACTCATCTGCATGTCATACTGACTGTCAGTATTATTTCTCTTCCCCAGCAGACTCCAAGGGCATTTAAATTAAAGGTACAGTGTTCTGCACTAATATAAAGGCTCTCTGAAGCCTAGAAACCCTTTTAATAAGTTAAATTCGCGGCGAATAAATTCGCATCGAATCAAATTTCTCCCGCAAATTTGGCGAATCGGCCGAATCGAATTTTTGAATAATTCGCTCATCTCTAGTTCTCACAACTGGCCACTGTGCCCTGCAGTGAAAAAGCAACTGGCAGGAGGAACCACAGATAACAGCAGGAAACATGCTGACTGACACACCCGCTGTTGGATAACACATGTTGTTCAAAGACAACAAAGATTTCACATGCCACCTATTGAATATTCAACATATTGTTTTACAGGGCACTGCAAGTAAAACTATCTTACCTTCTGAGAGGAGGTGCTAATAGTAGCTGTTGTAGACAGCAAACATTTCACCCACCATTTGCTGGAAGGTAAGTATGCAGCATTTATTACTTTATTTTAAAAATTGACTGAGGCATCTACTTTCAAGTTTAAAAAGATACTTCTGCTACTATAAAATTACACATTGTCATACAATAAGTGGGATCCATTTACCTCCAGACCACAAATTCCGAGAGCAACTCCTCCAACAATCTTCCCATTTTGAGATAGGAAGGACTCAAAAGAGGATAAGCAACCCTGGGAGGTAAAAGGAGAAATGAGTATCAACAGGATGGACATGAACAGATGCTACAATGGGCATCATTTCTGGATCTGTCAGATTTATAAGGTAAGTGCATGAGTTCATTTTACCTTGATCAGAGGGCTGATACTAGACTCCTGGCAGGGGCTCTTGTCGGCACAGCAGATTGGAGGAAACTCGCGATTATCCCTGTAGTAGGTGGAGTTAGCGAAATCTTCATATCCATGAAATCCACAGCACTTCAGCTGAAAGGCAATAGGTGTATTTATTTAGTAGCACAACCTTACCACTGTAGCAAACTAGCCCATCAGAGTTGGACGCGGAGTTCCCCTTTCTCTTTTCTTTTTAGTGGAAGTATTGCTCAGCCCTCATTCCCTACCCCCTCCCTTCCTGAGAAGCAAACGTTATCTCCTGAGTGACAGATGGTGGGGGGTAAACACAGGTGAAGGCATCCCTGGTTTGGTGCCAGCAGTCTGCGGAAAGTGTAACCTTTCTCTCCCATCATAAAACAGATAAGACCTTCTCCCCGGACTTGAAAGAAGTTGAAACCCCATAAAACTGACCCGCAGTTAATTGAACATTCCTCAGGTCAGCTGTCACCTATGTTTCATATCATTGAGTATGAAGCTGTTAGTTTTAATTGAGAGTCCACTGACCTCCGGCCCAAAATATTGTATTGGGCAGAGTCAGAGCCACCCCCCCCCCCCCCCCCCCCCCGCAGAGGGATTTTTTAAAAAGGACAGGCTGCAAGCCTGAAAGCTAAGCTTAACACACATCTCCTGAGTTTAACATCGTAACAGAGGAGATCAAAGACCCTTCCTGCTCTGCACTTTGATCTGTTTACAAACCAAGGCATATTGGCAAGTAATTTAACTCTTTAATTTCCTTCCTATTATCTCTTTGCTGTACCTTTATATGCATATATATATAGTTACATTTTCTTTGTAAATATTTTATTGCACCTGTTTGACTCTTTTAGTAATAAATCTTTCTTTCTGATGAGTTAAACTGTTTCTAAGCGCTTACTTGCAATTCACGAATTCCTGCCTTTGAAGTGATGCTACTGTGTTTGTTTAATCCTCTGCCCAATCGGCCTGCGGTGACCGTATTGGACAGGCGACTTTTCAATCATTATAGTGTATATTTGATAACAGGAGTTTCCCAGTCTCCAACAAAAGTGGTGGTGGCTGTAGAGGGTTAGTTGCGTAATTAACCCGACCCAGTAACAAGCGCATTCAGGCTGCAGGCACAGACTGTAGACCAGTAGTGGGCAATCGCTGTGCTGGGTGCAGCTGGGTGTGGCCTTGTTACGCGCGTCACACCGCGGGTTTAGATCGGCTGGTCTTTCGGTCACGAGTTTGGTGAGAAGGTCTGGGGTCTGATGCCGCGGGCGTGACGTATTACTGTTAGTCGCGGTCGTGCGATTGTCGCATGTTGGTGGCGGCGACCGTGCGATCGTGACAACCACTATCAATGATCAAAATAAAAATCTATTAAATTACATACAGATGTAATGTATATCATTGAGTCTCCAATATGACCTGCCCAAATCTATTATACTCTACAGAATGATCACTGCACCTTCAATATAACTTGGCCAGTGAAGGATTCCATAATGCATTTCTATTACACTTTAGCTGTTGCTTCAGGACGCCAAAATATGGACGTATTGTACATTATATACCCCAATACACCCCTGTGCGCTTTATATGTGCTATCACAGCAGCCTGTTTTCTTATCGATGTTTGTGCATTGGTATGCTCCCTTGTGTTACCCTTTGTTTCGGTATTAGATAGTACAGCCATACGTTAGACCTGGCCTCCCCTTGCTCTTAAGTTTAGTTTCAGTTTTACTTTTACAGAGTAAAGAGGTCTTTCTAAGTAAGCAAGCTCTTTGATTGATATGTCTTTTCCCCTCTGAGAAAGCTCAAGAGACATTCCCTTGTAATGTACCGGTCTAGAATACATTGCATTAGATTTCCCCTATAAGTCTTCTTGGTGAATTGACACTCCCTGTGGACCTTGTCGAATCAGCGAGTTGCCATACTACCCATACAGACTAGGTCTCAGGTGGTATTTATTCTGCAAGAAGTGACATTTAAAACACAAAGCCTTCTACACACTGTGCACTTGCTGCTGTGAAGTTTTACCTGCATCTTAGTAAGCACTTGGTCTCTGTCTGCATGAATGAGCAAGTGACCCTGATCGTTCTGGAAAAACCCGACAGGCTGGTTGTACACAAGTCGATCGATAGATCAATTTGCGTACAACCAGCTAGTCCATACATGGATTGAAATTGTGCCTATATTAGAACATTAAAGTCTAAATAGAGTGCTGCGCCTTGCAAACTTCCAGGTGTGTGGCTTGAAGTCATCGGCTTGCCCGACAGGCCAATCTCGTCAAGCCGCACACCTACAAGTTTGTGAGCCACCATCTTGTGAGTGATCAGGGAATCTAGATCTTAAAGGAACAGAAGGCCTTTTTACTGCAGTGCTCCAGTTAGGCACTTTTTATGTGAGTCAAACAACAATTTTAATAAATATTGGTGGATACATTTGCACTATGATGGGATATTCTTTCTAAAATGTGGAGGATATATCATGTATGGTTCAAAAGGATGGATTGATTGAGTCACATCAGGGATATTAAAAAAAACTGTGTGACTTGGTAAAACATTTTTATTTTCATACCTGTAGGCCATTCTGGCCCAGACAAAAAAAAACCTAACTACCTCTCCAAAACCGAGTTTCTTATCTTCCCCCCAGCCCGGACACCACCCCCCATTGACTTCTCTGTCACATCCAACAACGCCAATATCAAACTCTCCCCGCAGGCCAGAGTACTTGGTGTCATTCTGGACTCCAACCTATCCTTCCAGCCCCAAGTCCAATCTTTAACAAACTCGTGCAGACTCCACCTCCGCAACATCGCCAAAATACGCACGTTCCTAACTCCAGAAACCACTAAACAGCTCATCCACTCCCTCATCATATCACGACTCGACTACTGCAACTCCCTCCTTACTGGCCTGCCTCGCCGCTGGCTATCCCCGCTTCAGTCCATCCTGAATACGGCTGCCAGACTCATTCACCTTTCCAAACGCTCCTTCTCCGCCACCCCCCTCTGCCAATCCCTCCACTGGCTTCCGATTGCGCAACAGATCAAATTCAAAATCCTAACACTGACGTACAAAGCCGTCCACCATACTGCCCCGAACTACATCACTGACCAAATATCCAAGTACTGCCCAGCACGCACACTCCGCTCCTCACAAGACCTCCTTCTCTCTAGTTCCCTGGTCTCCTCCTCCCATGCCCGCCTCCAGGACTTCTCCAGGGTGTCACCCATCCTCTGGAACTCCCTGCCCCAACCCATCAGATTATCACCTACTCTCCTCCCATTTAGGCGCACCCTGAAAACCCATCTCTTCAGGGAAGCCTACCCCACCCCCTGCTAACCTACCGACCTCCTCCACTCTCCCTACCACTTCATCCCCCACAGCTATCTCCTCCTGTACCACTATCCCCTCCCTCCTAGATTGTAAGCTCGAAAGAGCAGGGCCCTCGATCCCCTCATGTTTTGCATTGTATTGGTATTGTTCTGTCACATGTTCTGTCCCCCTTTGTAATGTACAGCGCTGAGCGAACCATTGGCGCTTTATAAATACTGTATAATAATAATAACTAGCAATCTCCATGTCCTGCCCAATTGCCAGAATGCAAAAACTGTTGGTCTTCACCCCTGTAATGCTGCAATTAAATGTCCGAAGGCTTTTATGTAATACATAGATACTGATGATGAAACTTGTAATGATGTGAAGCTACCAAACACTGCTCTTGCAAAGCTTAAAAAAGTCCATGAAAGCCAAGGCAAGGCCAAAGGGTAGGAAAAAAAGGTGACCATGTTGGGTTTTTCATCAGCGAGCAAAAAAGGGCCAGACCTGCAAATCTATGCTGCAGAAATAGTTTACTGCCCATGGGAGGGGCACACATTGTTTTTTTCGCCTTGGTTCCTAATGAACCATGTCCAGCACTGATGAAAGCTGTAAGAGATTGAAAAATATTCATCTCTGTTCCCAAGTATCATTACAGAAGAATCTCTGAAGGAGACGAATAGCTTTACCAATGAAAGTACAATTTCAGACAAACCCTAACTAGTCTTAAAAATGCTATGCTCCCCCCACCCCCTCTTAAAAAACATGCTGACTAACCTCTGTAAGAATGATGTATTTTCCTACCTATTTTAAGTCTGCTCTGGCTCCATTGTATCAGCCAGAAATGGCTGCAGGGGAGAGGAGGGAACGCCGATAACAGATGGGCCATAGGAAGCCTGCTCTAAGCTTTACCAGCCATTGTTAAGCACTCTCTTTTCTCCCCTTCAGCGGCGCTGTAATGCACCGCCTGGCGGTACCTCTAGCAACCCACAGGATAGGATTCCCCAGAGCGCGGAGTCTAAGTCCCAATCTGCTTGTTCACCAGGGTCCCTGATGGTGGGGATGGACTTGGAGCAGACAGAGACCAGGTCGCGGCCCCTGAGTACACCCACCCGTGGTAGAGGGATCCGCCAGAGGTATCTGCTGGATAAGAGCCTGACGTGAAGAGGCGGATGGGTCCGTGCAGGACGGATGGATGGCTGAGTAGAAGCGTGGTCAGACAGGCCGGGTCGGTAACCGTGGGGACAGCGCGGTACAAGGCAGCAGGCAAAGAATAGTCGGGTCACTCGGTCAGTAACGGAGGTCAGATCTAATGGGGGGCATCCAAAGAGAGGTCAGGCAAGCCAGAGGTCAGGGCAGGAGAAGACAGCACGGTCAGGATCAATCAGGGTCGGTAACAATCAATCAGTAGGTAACAGGAGCAGGAACAAGCAGATGAGACCATACGGCAACCAGTGTCAGTGCAGAGCGGATTTAAATACCGCGCCCTGCACTCTGATTGGTGCCAAGCACGCGCCCGCGGTCCCGAGTGCGCATGCGCGAGTTCCGCCGTCGTTGCGGCCGCCCAGGACCTAGTGCCCCGCACGCCAGTGCGAATCGGCACACTGTGCCTGCGCCGAGCCACATGCCGCGGCGGCTCCTGACAGGCGCTGACTGACCCAGGGGATCACAGGACTGTACCGGTGCTACATGAAATTAGGTAAGTATATTCATCTTTCTAACCAAGGTTAGTCAGCATAAGTGTGAGGAGGAAGGAAGGAGTTTTTTTAAAAACTAGTCAGGTAGTAGCCTGGAATTCTACTTTAACTAACAAAGACAAATCACATTCCAAGAAGACTGATTACAGGTAGAGAACAGAATGTATGAAACTGCATCCTGCTACTCTACTTTCTTCATGTGGGACCTGTAGATGACAGTATTCAACTTTGAATACCCACCAATATTAGCTTGTGCAAAGGCAGGAGCAGCAAAGGAAAGCCTACTGTACCAAAAAAGAAGTAGCCATTAAGGCACAAGCAGACCAAGTTCATGCACAGGTAGAGGCCCAAGCTGCTCAAGAACAGATACAGGCAAAGAAACATGCCACCCAGGTCAAAGCACAAGATGCTCAGACTAAGATGAAAGTAAGGGCTGAAAGGGCACAGACAGAAACCCTGTTAGAAGTCCTTTGGAAGGAAAGGGAGGAAGCAGTCAATACAGCTGAACTGAACTGAACCAAGGAATAAGCTGGTCCATTCTCCTTTCTTAAGCACCTCTGAAGGATTCCACTTTTTCTAAGCCAGAACAGTGATAAAACAATTGAAGACACAGAACACCTCAAATTCTGTGCACCAGCTCACAATACATTCACTGGCAGGAGACAGTGCAGCAATTAGTTACACAGGTCATTCAGGGAAATTGGACCATTCTGTGCCTTACAAGTTGCAAACTGTCAGGAATGAACTCCCCACTGGTGGTGGGACTCACCTGCCGTGTGGGCTGCAGTACCAGGGCTGGCCAGCGGGTGCTCTCAGCAGCCAGAAGCTCACTCCTGCAATCAAGTCATCACCTGAGGCTGATTACAGGAGGTGTATTTAAGGAGTGGCCAGGCCTGAAGTCAGTGCCTTGGTGTATTGTTTCCCTTTGCCCCTGTATCCTGATCCTGTCTGCTTGAATCCTGACTCTGCATGAACTCTGCCTGTACCGACCTCGGCTATTCCTGACTACTCTTCTGCCTGCTCCTTGTACCTTGCCTGCCCGTTTGCTACTGACCCGCCTGCCCGACTACGTTTGGTATTGTACTTATTGTTATCTGTTGGAGGGTTGGTTTGTTTGCAGCTGTGTTTATGTTTAGTCTTGCACTGCATTTATGTATTGTTTAGTCTTTAATAAATTGTATTGTTTATACTATACCTGAAGCCTGCATTTCCCTGTGTCAGTCCACACATCTCTGGTCATACCTGAAGCCCTGACACAAACACCCCATGTAGCCACGTATAATAAGCCATCACAGACCCTACTGAGTCTAGAACACCAAACTGTATCAAGACTTTTCAGGACTACACACTTCCTGAAACCCACACACCTTCAGACCTTAAGATGCCAAACCTTCTGTCAGGAGCAGGATCCGACCCCACAACCTCTGCTGCATCTGGCAGTAGATCTTCTTGCTGAGCCACCTGAGATGCTGGACACTGCTTTGCCTGATTACTTGGACAAACGTACTTGCTTTTGTTGAACCTTCAACTTCTTGTGCCCCCCACAAACTTCCTATTTAAGTCATGCCTTTGCACTTTCTGTTTGTCAGCTTATTGTGCTCTCTCCAGCCAATATGTTGCCCTTGTCACTCCTGTTGCTGTCCATATCTTCTCTACTACTTGTTACCAAACTTTGCTTGTTCCTCGACTATGCTTTTGCTTAATCCCAACCTGCAACCACTTGTTACCGACCTTGACTTGTTTACTGACTACAGTTCTGCTTGATCCCTACCTGCTATATCTGCTACTGGGCAATAAAACCCATGATGCATTTGCGTCTTACCTCCTTCATCGTTGTATTCCATACTGTAGTCATTTCATTGTTCCGACCATAATCTTCTCGCAGGTATTTCACAGCCACATTGCCAAGATACTCAATAAAGATCTTAGACTGAAAAAGATTAAATAGAAAGGCCAGATACAATTAATAAATTGCTTTCTAATAGCTCAGTGGTTGTTATTAAGACCTGATTTATAGTTTGCAACACAATTTCACAAATTGGTGTTCTTGCAGAACCCCTGCTGGGCCAGTTCTTAGGAAGGCCTTTTAGCTTTAAGGGTTGACAAATGCTGACAGACAGGTTCACTTTAAGATGCTCTACCGTAAAATATGTATTTTTAGTAGTAAACAAATGAGGATGTGCGATTTTCATCTGTAAAATGATTCAGCACAAGTCATTGAGTTACCTCTGTATAAACAACAGGCAATGCAAATAGCCCTTGGAGTGACTGTTTTATATTTTAGAAGAGATTATGTAGTACATGTAAATGTCTTTGTGTTGTGTGCATGTGTCTATTCTTAATCTGCTCTAACCCAAGATCCCAGAAGATCTACAGCCTGGTCTTTCTTATTTGTAAAACAAACCCCGATATTTTACAAATTACAATTACAACTAACAATAGTGACAATCAAATTATATTATTGACATTAATTACAATGAAGAGATAAGAAAAATTATTCTAAAAATTAATATTGATTTACATTTCCATACATTTTTAATAATATGCACAGTCAAAAGATTCTGTGTGGCTCCAGGCAAATATATAAATACATCAGTGAAATTGTAGGTTTGGATGGAACTTTACAGGTATTCTACATGTTAACAAGTATAATGTATTATAAAATATATTTTACTAAAAACATATTAAAACCCTAGACAGATATAAAAAAGCCACTTTATGGCGCTGCATTATTTGATCAGTACATATTGGCTACAGTTCTCTTCATTCCCAATGTATTTCGAACAGAATGTTCTTCCTCGGGGAATGAGAATCTGTAAGCTAAGAAGTAATTGTTAGTTATCCAGTAAGTGTACATTATATCTGTACCCTACTGTACCAAACAATATGTATTGATCATATAATATGGCTCTGTAAAGTGTGGTTTTATATCTGTCTAGGGTTTTAATATGATTCTAATAAAAAAATATTTTAGAATGCATTATGTGTTTACATGTGGAATGCCTGTAAAGTCCCATCCAAACCTAAATTATGTACTAGATTTAGGAATGTTTGTATTCCTTTAAAGATATAGACATTTAGGAACAGGGGACTGACCATTTGGAAACTCTTGCACTGCCCGAGGGCCCAGGGTCAGTAGGAGGCCCCATGAGATGCCCCTGGTACCTTTTTCATAGGCTTTTTTTAGTTTGGGCAAGGACACAGGGGCCCCATGATCCCCTATTGCCTGGGGGCCCCATGAGTTGTCAGTCCGCCCCTGTTTAGGAAATGTTTCTAGTTTGAAATACACATGCAAATTTACTGTTTCACCTGCCAAAGCATTTGTAAATGTGCACGCCAATCCTGTGATACAAACACCTCTGCTAGTCAGTAAGATTTCTCTGTTACTTCATTTTAGCATTGCACATTCCAGGGGCTGCTCTCTGCTCTTTGGATAAAAGGGATGATGCTAATTTCTTGTCCAATAAGCAGGCTTGAATGTAGAGAGGTAGGACAAGACGCTAAACTGCTGAACAACGAAGATGAATTGCTTAATCCGGAACTACAGTACCTATGTCACCTGTCTGGCCGTGTGGTTGGAAAATATGCATAAATCACAGTACTGGCCCTGCAGACTCACAAATCCTTTGGCAGGTTAAACAATAAACATATATATATTTAAATTCTGTAGTCAGAGTACTTCTGGTGCTGTGCAGTGTGGGATGAAATCACGCCGCACAGCACCAAAAGTACTTTAGTCAGTGGTGTATTTAGGTTTTGTGCTGCCCTAGGCAACACAAAAATTGGATGCCCCCCCCCCCGCCCTATCTGCCCCCCACCCCCTCGGGGGAGCGTTCCACTAACACTCCCCCCCCCCTGGCGACAGAGAGAAAGACACTCACCTTCACAGCTTTGGAAATCCCCGGGAACGACAGTTGGGCTCTACATACACCATCAAGCAGCCCGCGACCTCTCTCAGATCCGACCTGGTCGCCTATGTCCCTTCTTCCAGTTGGGCATTTCTGCCCCCCTAAAAGATGTCGCCCTAGGCAAATGCCTTGTTTGCCTTGTGGTAAATATGCCCCTGACTGTAGTGCATGCACTACATTTGGAAACTCACTGCAACTGGATCACATAGTACTTCTGTGCTATGTAATCCAGTGCAGGCAAATACACTGAATTTGGGGTGTCATTAACTTGACATTGACAACTGCTGCAGATTGCAACTGCAGTGCATTGTTTAATAAATGGGCTGAAATTGCACCATATAGGACTGCATGTGAATTGCATAGGAATGCATAGCACATTTTTGTATGATTCATGGTGTGAATCAGCTCTTATTGTATGTATCATGTAAAACATTAGACTGCACATGCAATGGGTAGAATTCTTACCAAGGAGGAGAACGCCAACACTACAACAGCTCCAGCTATTTCCGCAATAAAGATAATAAGGATGATGATGAAAAACTGAAAGAAAGGAGAGACCAACTGCAGTCAATTATGCACCCAACTATAATTATGCAATAAATACAATCATACAGAGTAGAAAAAAGGAAGTTGGGACAAATGTTATATAGAGTAGTAGCAGGAGGTATAGGGAGGGGTCATATGTGGAAGCCGAAAAAAGGGGAACATACTGATTAGGAGGAAGAGCTATCAAGGTTATATTAAAGAATAGGAAAAAATGGAAGAGAAGGTGATATGGTATGAGTGGGAATGGCATATTAGGACCTTCTGTTATCCCATTAAATCCCCCATCATTCTTTCTCTTACCATATTACCTCTTCTTTTATTTTTTTTTATTATTATTTCTGAACAATTCCTTAATGCTCTTATTATTCCTTTGCACAACCTCTCAAACTTCTTCTCTTAATTGGAATAAATGGAAAGGCAGTATGGCATATCAGAGATATTTTAGGGAGGTCTTGTAAGGATTAAAAGAAGGAGTAATAGGAGGGATTATATAGACTAATGGTAGAAGTTATAGGTAGTGGTTATGAGCAGTAGGGGTTATACTGAGGGGCTATAAGGAGTAAAAGGAGGAGTTATAGGAAGGAGGTATACAGAATATAAGTAGAAGTTACAGAATGAGTTATTAGTTATAGGAAGGGTTTAGGAGAGGATATATAAAATATAAGACATATACAGTAGACAGGGGTTGCAAGGATTAATAGAAAAATTTTGTCAAAGCAAAAGGGAAAGGCTGGTGCTATGTAGCATGTGCAACACGGTTCGGCCATCAGGCCTTAGTCATGGCTGAGTCATGACCACATTGGGGTTTTTTAGCTGTTTTTCATCTGTAATAATAAAAAATTATGTGCAACACCCTCCTAGTTAGCTAGGGAGAACTAGCTAATTTTTTTTATTTTTTTTTTTTTTATTAGTTAGAGAGGCTGCTGTAGCAGCCAGGGAGAAATAGTCAGAGGGTCAAATTTGGGTCAGGGCTGAGAGGCTCTGCAGATCAGCTCTCTGATAATTCCCCCTGATCTAGAGACTTGGAGAAGTCTCAAGAACTCAGTGGGCAGAGGTGAAGAGGAGCTGGTCTGCACTCTTAGGGGATCCTGGCCAATCTCCAAGCAGGAGGCTTGGCATGGGATCAGGACAGCCCTTAAGAGTAACTGAGGAGCCTGCTCAGTAGCAGGAGAGTTCAGGTGGAAGATGCAGTTAGCAGGATGGAGTGTGGAGCCTAGGAGGGGGTCCAGGAGAGGGGCTTAACTACAGGCGGGGGAGCCAGAAGAGAAGATCTTTTAGCCTCATCGTCCCCTGAGAGCCTGGGAAACAGGAAAGGAGCCAGCCCAGCCTGAAGGCAGCCACCAACCCACATGCTTGCAGGAGAGGGCTGAGTGAGTAATCCCACACCCCCTGGGCCAAATAAGAGGAAAGGGCATTTGGGTGGGAAACCTGATTGCCCTCATCTAGGACTGCTAATCTTAAGGTGGCAGCTTCTGGGACCCCTTGCCCAAGGATTCCCTCAGGCAGCTAGACGAAGAGGAGATTTCATCTGGGGTCTGAGGTGGTACACCAGGAGAGGCTGGATAGCTCTCCAAAGAGAAGACCCTTCTGAGCATTTGTACATAGTTCCAGTAAGTTGTCCTCAATTTAACAGTTCCTTGGGCATCTTATATATCCCTCGTCCCCATCCAAGTCCTAAACCCCTTAATAAAATCACAAAAAAAAAACAAGTTTAATGACTGTTTACTGTCTCTGGAGTGCAAGGCTGGCAGGAAATGCGTGTTGCCTGGCTGTGTAGGGTTATAGGGGGACCCAAATCATCAGCAACTCTTAAGAGGTTAGTGCTACATATATTTCAGCCGATTCCATGGCACCAGCTTTTCCCTTTTGCTTTAACTGAGTATGGAGGTTTGCAGAGGGCTGGGTGCCCTGTTCCTGAGGCTGATGAGGAATCATGTAGGAGGTAGTAGCTGTTCTAATTGGAATATTTATATGGAAAGGATATACTGAATACTGTATATAGAGGAATTATAGGGAGGGGTTATAATGAGTATTAGCAGGAATTATAGTGAGGGGCTATAGTTAGTAAAGAAGGAGTTAGAGGGAGGGGTTATTTTAATCAATAGTGAGTTTATAGGCAGGGGTAATATATAGTAACAAGAGGGGTTATGAGGGTGGGGGGATTACAATTAGTTAAAGGGGGGGTTTATAGGGAGGGAGTATAATTAGTAGTATGGAGGGCTGGGTAGTTAAAGGGAGAAATAGGAGGGGTTATAGGGAGGGGATATAATTCATGTAATTGGTAATAGGAGGTAACAGAGGACGGAGGGGTAACAATTAGTAAATGAAGGATTACAATTAGTAATTGGAGGAGTTATAGGCAGGGGGGTTAATTATTAATAGAGAGTGCTTTAGAGAGATTATTATGAGTAATAGTGTGGTTTATAGCAGGGGTGGACTGACCATTTGGTCACTCAGGCACTGCCCGAGGGCCCGGGGTCAGTAGGGGGCCACATGAGATGCCCCTGGTACCTTTCATAGGCTTTTTTGGGAGTGGTTTGAGTGTGGGTGAGGACACAGGGGCCCCATGATCCCCTATTGTCTGGGGCCCCATGAGTTGTCAGTACCCCCTGGTTTATAGTGAGATGTTACAATTTAAACATGAAACAGTTATAGGGAGGGGGTATAATTAATAATAGGGAGTGTTCTAGGGAGTGGTTATTATTTGTAATAGGGAGAGTTATAGCTGTCATAATGAGTTGTAGGATAGGTTATAGAGAGGAGCTACAATTAGTAATAGGCAGGTTATAGGTGGGGTTATGGGGAGCGGTTATCGATAGCAAGGTTACCAGGAGTCAAATGGGTAATAGGGAGGGGATATACAGAACATAAGGCATAGTTATATAGGGGGTGTCATAAAGAGGTAAAGCAAGGGTTAGACTTCAGAGATATAAAGAATAAAATGATTAGTTATAGGGTGAGGTTATAAGGAGTAATAGAAAGGGGCATAGGAAGAGGGTATATACTCAACAGGAGAAGTTATAGGAACTTGTTATATTTAGTATAATGAGTTGTAGCGTGGAATTACAGTGTTATAAAAATGATGGTAATATGTTACTCACAGTCATTAACATGCACCGACTCTCCTTCACAGCTCCACAGCAGCCAAGAAAACCCATCACTATGAGGAATCCTCCCACTGCCATGCACAGGTAACCCACATTCACCACCTGCATGAGCTGCGGAGCCGCTGTGCCGAGAATCTTCAAGAAAGACCCTCCGTCTACCTTCACCCAGATGCCGATGCCCAGCACAGCAACACCCCCAAGCTGCAAAGACAAAAGAACAAGTGTTTTTCCATATCATTACTTCACCTACTCATAGACATAAGGCAATACTTGCCAAGCTCGTGGCCTGTTCCTCCTTCACATATGTATCACATTGTTTTTAAAAGGTAACAGTTTTACAGAAAACTGATGTTTTGCATACATTATTTTTTCTAATATGTATACAGTCATGGCCGAAATTGTTGGCACCCTTGATATTTTTCCTGAAAATCATGTATTTCTCACGAAACGTATTGCATTAACACATGTTTTGCTATACACATGTTTATTCCCTTTGTGTGTATTGGGACAAAACAAAAAAAGGGAGGAAAGAAAGCAAATTCGACATAATGTCACACAAACCTCCAAAAATGGGCTGGACAAAAGTATTGGCACCCTTTCACAACTGCGGATAAATAAGAATGTTACAAGCATGTGATGCTCCTGTAAACTCACCTGGGGCAAGTAACAGGTGTGGGCAATATAGAAATCACACCTGAAAGCAGATAAAAAGGAGAGACGTTCACTTAACCTTTGCATTGTGTGTCTGTCTGTGCCACACTAAGCATGGACAACAGAAAGAGGAGACGAGAACTGTCTGAGGACCTGAGAACCAAAATTGTGGCAAAATATCAACAATCTCAAGGTTACAAGTCCATCTCCAGAGAACTAGATTTGCCTTTGTCCACAGTGCGCAACATTATCAAGAAGTTTGCAACCCATGGCACTGTAGCTAATCTCCCTGGTCGTGGACGGATGAGGAAAATTGATGAAAGATTGCAACGCAGAATAGTCCGGATGGTGGATAAGCAGCCCCAAACATGTTCCAAAGACATTCAAGCTGTCCTGCAGGCTCAGGGAGCATCAGTGTCAGCGCGAACTATCCGTCGACATTTAAATGAAATGAAACGCTATGGCAGGAGACCCAGGAGGACCCCACTGCTGACACAGAGACATAAAAAAGCAAGACTACAGTTTGCCAAAATGTACTTGAGTAAGCCAAAAGCCTTCTGGGAAAACGTCTTGTGGACAGATGAGACCAAGATAGAGCTTTTCGGTAAAGCACATCATTCTACTGTTTACCGAAAACGGAATGAGGCCTACAAAGAACAAAACACAGTACCTACGGTAAAATATGGTGGAGGTTCAATGATGTTTTGGGGTTGTTTTGCTGCCTCTGGCACTGGGTGCCTTGACTGTGTGCAAGGCATCATGAAATCTGAGGATTACCAAAGGATTTTGGGTCGCACTGTAGGGCCCAGTGTCAGAAAGCTGGGTTTGCGTCCAAGATCCTGGGTCTTCCAGCAGGACAATGACCCCAAACATACGTCAAAAAGCACTCAGAAATGGATGGCAAAGAAGCGCTGGAGAGTTCTGAAGTGGCCAGCAATGAGCCCAGATCTAAATCCCATTGAACACCTGTGGAGAGATCTTAAAATTGCTGTTGGGAAAAGGTGTCCTTCCAATAAGAGAGACCTGGAGCTGTTTGCAAAGGAAGAGTGGTCCAAAATTCCGGGTGAGAGGTGTCAGAAGCTTATTGATGGTTATAGGAAGCGACTGATTTCAGTTATGTTTTCCAAAGGGTGTGCAACCAAATATTAAGTTAAGGGTGCCAATACTTTTGTCCAGCCCATTTTTGGGGTTTTGTGTGACATTATGTCATATTTGCTTTTCTGCCTCTGTTTTATATTTGTTCCAATACATACAAAGGGAATAAACATGTGTATAGCAAAACATGTGTTAATGCAATACCTTTTTTGTGTGAAATACTTGATTTTCAGGAAAAATATCAAGGGTGCCAACAATTTCGGCCATGACTGTATATAGTATAATTTATAAATAAATGTATATAAAAGGGTGTACACATGACACTGGTGTTTCAAAGCATTTTCTAAAGAGAGCAGAGGGTCGGTCTGGCTCCATTTCTCCTCCTCTTCGTCTCTCTGAGATTTGTGTTCCCGTCGTGCCTTAACGGAGTTGAGCCCTACTCCCCCAAGTCTTTTTCATTCTAGCATGTTCATCGGTGTGGCCCTGCAGTCCGAATTGGGGTGCGACCAGTGGGATCATTCTGATGGGATACTGATGGATGATCACCTTGTCTCCACTTGTTGCCGTGTCCATCTCCTGACCCTCTTCCTTTTCTTTCCTCTCTTCCTTCAATACCTTTACATCTAGTGCAGGGGCGGACTGACAACTCATGGGGCCCCCGGGCAATAGGGGATCATGGGGACCCTGTGTCCTTGCCCAAATACAAAAAAGCCTATGATAAAGATACCAGGGGCATCTCATGGGGCCCCCTACTGACCCTGGGCCCTCGGGCAGTGCCCGAGTTTCCAAATGGTCAGTCCGACCTTGTCTGGTGTCTCCCCTCCCCCTTTTCCTTTTACCTACCTTTTTTTTTCTCTCTTCTCTCCTTTTCTCTCTTTCCTCTCTGGGTGTATTCTCTTGGTTTTATGGAATTCTCATTATTGTTGAATATCGCCTGTCTGGGGATGCCCCCCTTGTATCTATGTTTGGATTCATCTTCCTTCATCCCCATGGATCATACTCATACCCAGGGGCGGACTGACCATTCGAGCACTCGGGCAGTGCCCGAGGGCCCGGGGTCAGTAGGGGGCCCCATGAAATGCCCCTGGTACCTTTTTCATAGGCTTTTTTGAGTGTGGGCAAGGACACAGGGGCCCCATGATCCCCTATTGCCCGGGGGCCCCATGAGTTGTCAGTCCGCCCCTGCTCATACCTATGCTGTTGTTTTTTGCCCATTCCATTGTCGATGTTCTTATTATTTTCTTGCTATATATTGTTTAATTTGATACAAAATCTAATAAAGACAAATTTGCCTTTAAAGAGAGCAGACACAGGGGCCCCATGATCCCCTATTGCCCAGGGGCCCCATGAGTTGTCAGTCCGCCTCTGCTCATACCTATGCTGTTGTTTTTTGCCCATTCCATTGTTGATGTTCTTATTATTTTCTTGCTATATAATGTTTAATTTGATACAAAATCTAATAAAGACAAATTTGCCTTTAAAAAGAGCAGAAGCTGTTTGGTTTCAGACTGTTTCTCTCTAATTGAGGGTACATTAACACTTGACTAAAACATTGCAAGCTCTGGAAGCGTCTATACTCACAAATATTATGCCGTTGAAGATGAACATCATCGTTTTTAAGAATGAAAAGCAACTCATTTTTACGACCTGGAAGAGAAAAAAGTAAATACATCTTTAAATTCCTGTGTCCTGATGTTTGTGTATTAGCTGGACATCTTTTTCTGCCCTTTGGTGAAAAATATTGTACTCTGGTAACTGTGTTGGGGGTAAGATCTGTATTGACAGCCTTCGGTATATTCATTTTTTTATTTCACTTGCTTTTATTAAAAATATTCTTCACATTTTCATACAGAGAGAGCTGTACAGGATTGGGACACTCTAACACTGTCATTCATATGGTTTAACCTGTTACATACTGTAAAAACACAACTATAATATACTGTACCTTAGTAGTCCTTAGATGTGATGGCTGCATTCGTTTTCTTTTTCTCCAAGCTTTTTTCCCTTATTTTTACTTGGTGATCCTGACAATAACACACGTTCTGTCTTGTATGATAACACACAGTCACTCACTATTACTGTGGGGTTATTTACTAAAACTGCATGATGCAAAATCTGGTGCAGCTCTGCATAGAAACCAATCAGCTTCCAGATTTTGTTGTCAAAGCTTAACTGAACAAGTTGAAGTTAGAAGCTGATTGGCTGCCATGCACAGCTGCACCAGATTCTGAATGCACCAGTTTTAATAAATATTCCCCTCTATCTATGGAAAATCACTGTTGTTACCCTTCAACAAAAAGTGTGTTAGTCTTACCCCCGGTTCACATCTATGCGGCCGTACGGGCCGCGTTTTGCACAGGCACAAGCGCCCATTCATTTGAATGGACTCCCGTGGCCGTGACACGCAAGGGAAGAAGTCCCTGCACTTTGGAAAACGCAGCCCACGCAGGAACCTCGGTTCCCAGTACGGTTGCGTTTTCCAGTGCGGGCGGCGTGCCATTAGAATTAATGGCACCCGCCCAAGGGTCTGCAATTCTCTGTGCGGGCGGTGTGGCTGCATGGATTTTCGTGCGGAGCCGCAGCAGCACCACCCGCACAGATGTGAACCTAGGGTGACTGAACACCTCTTCCTCTCCTCATCTCCAGAACATGTGGTTATGTTTTTTTTGTAGTCCACAGGGGATAAATGGGAAGGCTAAAAACAGTGTTTCAGATATGTGTACATGAAGTGACAAGGACACTGTGTTTCTTGCAGCATCAACAGGTACTATATTTTTCAGAACTTGTAGAAAATGTTCCTAGCCTGAAAAAAAACAAAAAACGAATGCAACCACCATATCGAAGGACTGTTAAAATGCAATATGTTCCATTTTTATTCTTGGGTCTAGATACAATTTAAACCTTTTTATCTAAAATAGAAACAAAATCTGTTTCTGTAATTGCTTATAGATCATCCAGGAGACTGCAGAAGATTCTGGGTGGTAGGTGTGAAGCTATGCAGATGGCAGCATGAATATTGATATAACCTCAGCCTATCCCAGAGAGAGGGGCTTTAAGGCATGCTGGGTAACTGTATATATATTCAGTGAGCATATGGGGCTCTGTTTCTTTCCTGGCTAGGATTTACCAAGCCCGCCCACATGGAAGAAAAATATATTTGAAATATATTTTAAAAATATTCTTCGCAAATATATTGCCATATATTTGAAATGCTACAATTTTGGCCATATTCAATATATTTCAAAATATATTTCAATAAATATATATATATATGCTGCATGTTGAAATGCGTTTCTATTACAAAATATATGAAAAATATTTTTAAAAATACATTTCAAATATACCGTATGTCTTTAAAAATACAAATCTACATTTTTGGAATGCATTTACAAATATATGTAAAAATATGTTAAAATGACTTTTTATATGTTAAAAAAAATCTGAAGAATATATTTAAAAAATCAAATGCTGTGACTCAGGAGCGGGGGGCGGGGCTAAGCTACTTGCTCTGTGTTAATGGTCGCAGGCAGGTGCCCTCATGGAAAGCGTCTTTTTGTGGGGGCATCCGCCGAAGAGGGGCCAGGAGTGCCGGTAGGGGACCCCAGAAGTGGTCCCAAAAGCATTGCACAGGGCAGATAGGTATAGACTTGTTTGTTATTTTAATTAAAAAAAAGAAGATTTAATATCACTTTAAGCTGTCCACTTTTTGGATTCACGCAAGGACTCCAATACAGCTTGTCCTGAAGATTAGACAAAGTCCTCGATGTACACAGTTCCTAATTTGGAGTATCACATTCATCTCCGTCATCCCTGTCCCAATTCTTCAAAAATAAAAACAAGAAAAACAATACCCCTAGACTGATTATTGGAGAAATGAGTTCATACGTCTGTATATGCAATAAAGCATGCTTGTTATACTCTGTGGAACCTAAGGGGTTAATCGTCTTCTCTGATCATCTCCTTCATTTACTGTCCCCAATCTATCTGCTGATAGAACAGAGCCTTGGGGGCAAGCTGCACATGCTCAGTTTGGTGTGTATTGCTCCTAAATTGTAAGCTTGAAAGAGCAGGGCCCTCGATCCCCTCATGTTTTGCATTGTATTGTTATTGTTCTGTCACATGTTCTGTCCCCCTTTGTAATGTACAGCGCTGAGCGAACTATTGGCACTTTATAAATACTGTATAATAATAATAATATTGCTAGAGAGTTTTTTTTTCTTGGGAGAGTGCATGTGATTAGCACAGGGCCAACCAGCACTGCCCACACAGAGGGTCAAGGGTCCTGCAGCCTCATAAGAAAATCACGGGAGAATGAAAAATCTTCCTATAAGCTTTAACCAGTGCTCTGCTGGACACTGATAGAGGTCACGAGACTGCCATATACTGCTAATGACAAAAGGTATTTAGCAGTTTATATTTACTAAAATAATTGCATTTAGTAACAAGTTAATAGCAATATATCAATTGCAGTTACTCATACGACCCCATAAGCATGTAACTTTTACAAATCTCTCTATACTATATTGAAATCTGATTGTTTTTTTAAATTTACTTTCATCTTTGCTCTTGTAAAGCATTATGAAAGGATTAATTCTCCAAAAACCAATATCTCTGTTAAGAGATCACCCGCTAATTTCCTTTATATCGAGGGACTCCAGTAGCTCCAGGAACGGTCCTGTTGAAGTTACTGTTGGATGCTACTGTAGATAAGTGGGCTCTTCATAATGTTCATAGAGGGTGGGCAGAGCTGAGAACTTCTATGAAAACATTTTACCACTTTGGTACTTTAGGAATATGAAGCAAACATGCACAAAGACTGCAATATCTCAAAGACAGACTGTTCCTATAATTCAGTGTTTCTCAACTCCAGTCCTCATGGACCTCCAACAGGTCATGTTTTCAGGATTTCCATTATTTTGCACAGGTGATTTGATCAGTTTCACTGCCTTAGTAATTACCACAGCTGTTTCATCTGAGGGAAATCCTGAAAACATGACCTGTTGGGGGTCCATGAGGACTGGAGTTGAGAAACACTGCTATAATTAAACTCACCTGTGCTTGAAACTAGAATCATTGCTCATGAGTCCTCAATATTTAACCAGAAGTAAAACAGAGTGGATGAGTAACCAGCAGGATTTTTAGTTCCAAGTACAATAAGAATAAAATATAAAATCTTCATTGCTTCTCATCTAAGGCTAGGTTTTCATGGTTGCGTGTCAGAAATGGGCACAATTGTGCATGTTTCTGACCTGCTGAAAAAACGTGCTGCTCTTTAGTAAAGTGCATAGGGATGCCATTAATTCTTATAGTGTTACTAAAGCTACAACCAGGGGCGGACTGACAACTCATGGGGCCCCCGGGCAATAGGGGATCATGGGGCCCCTGTGTCCTTGCCCAAACTCAAAAAAGCCCATGAAAAAGGTACCAGGGGCATCTCATGGGGCCCCCTACTGACCCCGGGCCCTCGGGCAGTGCCCGAGTTTCCAAATGGTCAGTCCGCCCCTGGCTACAACAGTAAACTCAGTCTGTATATGCAGTAAAGCATGCTTGATATACTCCCTGTGGAACCTAAGTGGTTAATCCTCTGCATTGTGTTATAAAATGCTGTTTGATCCTGTCTTCTCTGATCCTCCCCTTCTTACATTGTCCCCCTCTTATTTCCTGATAAGACATATGGTGTAGAGGCACTCTACACATGCTCAACTTGGTGTGTATTGCTAGAGAGGTTTTTTTTTTCTTGGATGAGTGCATGTGATCAGCACAGGACCAATCAGCACTGTCCAGACAGAGTTCAGGGGTTCTGCATCCTCCTAGAGCAGAAAGAAAACTCCTCTTACAAGCTTTAGCCAGTGCTCTGCTGGACACTGATAGAAGTCACAAGACTGCTCTATACTGCTGATGAGAAAAGGTATTTAGCAGTTTATATTTAGTAAAATAATTGCATTTTCATGTGCTGTGTACTGTTGGAGACCAGATATAGTGAATGCAGGGTCCGGGGTTTGGTAACACTTTAATAGCACCCCCACGCATAGCATAACATCCATGCTTTTGCATATGCCAATCTGAATGGTGCCACAATACCATGCGGCGCCATTTTAAAAAAAAGGTAAGGGGCCTACTTTCTCTGTGTTTCTGCATGTAGGGCAGCCCATTGAAATGAAAAGGCTTTCCCTACATGCAGAACATGCAGAAGCTGTACAGGTGTGAGCCAAGCCTTCACACTATTCTGCACAAAGTGCAGGAATTTAACGTAAGAAACTTTTGTTTTTTTATTGGTATGTAAATTTTGTAATTTCATATGTAGAACAGTTTTTAGGTGAATAGTAATAAAGATATTGAGGGGAATTCAATAAAGTTCTAACAGCACTTTTCTATCAGTACAGCTCTTATGATGGTCTTTGCCAGATGTAAAAATCCCTACCGCCCATTTCGGCAGCTTTACGGACACGTGTAGCAGACTTATGCAGGCCATAGACGGGTCAAAAACCGGCCATTTAAAAAAAAAAAAAAAAAAAACGAAAAATTGGTCATTCAATAGGCCAACGTTACCACCAATGGTAAAAAAAATCGGCCGATTTTCGTCCCGTCTGCGGCCGGCATTTAATTACTTCTGTCCCTTGCAGAGAGAGCCGCTATTATATTTGATATGAAAAAGTTTTGCGGTTGCAACAATGTATCTATTTGTATTGATTTCGGATACAGATGTTTTTTATTCGGATACAAATGGATACATTGTTGCAACCGCAAGACTTTTCATATAAAATATAATAGCGGAGTGGAATTATTCTTCTTCTTTTTCTTTTCTTCTTCATCTTCTTTTTCTTCTTCTTCTTCTTATTGCAGGTCACGGCTCATGCGCAGATTTTTTATCGGTACAACGATCGGCCGATTTGCCCATCATTGCTGGTAAAATCGGGCGATCGGCAAAATTGGCCGATTTTTTTCAAACTTTACTGATAAAAAAAATGTGCCGACCAATTAACCCATTAACGGTGCGAAAATGGGCTGATTTTTTTTCGTCCGAAAAATCAGCCGATTTTTGACCCATCTATGGCCTGCATTAGGTGGTTCTTAAAAGTGCCACTTTTACAAAGCACTATTACTAAATTAAAAAATAATTACCTGCGGTTCTTAGATGACAAAACTGGAGATAATGAGGACCAATTATAGGTTGGCCTACACCAGTGTTTCTCAACTCCAGTCCTCATGGACCCCCAACAGGTCATGTTTTCAGGATTTCCATTATTTTGCACAGGTGATTTGATCAGTTTCACTGCCTTAGTAATTACCACAGCTGTTTCATCTGAGGGAAATCCTGAAAACATGACCTGTTGGGGGTCCATGAGGACTGGAGTTGAGAAACACTCGCCTACAGAGACAGGCAGAGTGCCTGTCTCTGTACATTGCTTTACAAATGACATATTTGCTCTCTGCTCTCTCCTTATGATTGACAGCAGGTAGTTGGCATACTCTATAGCCAGTAGAAAGAGGTCTTTTGTCTATAAATTCACCCACTGCCTACTGTCAATCACAAGGGAAGTGGACTTGATGGGACTCAAGGGTCTTGGCTTTCCTATCAGTATCTACTCACCCAACCACAAAACTCCTTGGTGCTGCGATCTGTATGACACTCTGGACCAGGGGTGGACTGACAACTCATGGGGCCCCCGGCCAATAGGGGATCATGGGGCCCCTGTGTCCTCACCCGCACCCAAAAAAGCCTATGAAGAAGCCAATGAAAGGTACCAGGGGCATCTCATCTGGCCCCCTACTGACCCCGGGCCTTTGGGCAGTGCCCAAGTGCTCAAATGGTCAGTCTGCCCCTGCTCTGGACTCAGTGGGCCTTTGCCTACCCCGAATTCATATACCTGTTTTCAACAGGTACTTGAATCCGTCACCTGCACCAACATTTGTCATGCACAGGCGCGATGAAATTCTAGAGTCGCCTAGACACTTCGTATGAATTTGCCAAATTATCTTACTATTATTGTACTGTACATGGCAATACAAATCCTACATATTCCTCTTAGAGCCCATTCACATGTGCAGTGCCCTCTGAAGAGTGATCTGCATTGGATTCCTTTTCCTAACTGCCTGATTTAAGCCTATAATTGCTGCACTATCAGGTTGCAATCCTGTGCATTTCATATGTTTGCAGGCAACCACTAAACTGCATTAGTCACATTTGGCGGTGTTAACGTATGCTTTTAATTTTTGGACGACCAAAGCATGAGTACAACCCTGAGCAGCTGCATACCCAGGTTCAGGTGGGCGTTTGTTTAGGGGGTGGTAAAACTGCAGTTCAACCTGATTTTACCACCCCCTAGCTGCACATGTGAATGAAGTCCAGCAGTTTATTCCGTAGGGGTTCCTAGTGCAGTTCAGTATATATTTAACTCTCAGGAATTATTAAGTAAGAGAGCTGCTTGTACTATTTTCTTCATCGCATGAATAAGTACCCAATCATAGTAGGATTGGTTCTTCTGTATGTCTGCCCCATTGTACCACGTCTACAGATATGTCATACCGCACTAGCTAGAGTCAGAAAGGATTGCAGGAAATATTTTTATTTTTAAAGAAATTAGATTAGGAAAATACTCACTAGATGGAATAATTTTGAAAGGCAAATTGTTACCTAAATATGCAAAACTGAATCCAGCACTATCTGTTATGCTGAGCCGGTGTTTGTGCATCTGAACCGTATATCCGTGGGCACAATGATCTCATGATCTAACCTTGGATTACTGCAGACAGCATTCTCTATGTTACTATGTTGTAAGACACGACAGAAACTGAGCTCTTCATCAGGGTCTGTCAGAAAATCTGATGTCATCAAAGGCAAATCCTATCCACTCTTGAGTCTGATCCTTGTGTCACACGGGGGCCATCAGTGGTCTAGTGAGACTTATCGGTGGCAGGTTACACCTCCACTAATATGGTTGCAGTCTTGGAAGCCTCACAGCACTGTGTATGGATGACAAAGTAGGCTTAGGAGAAAGAGCAGCCAGACAATGCCGGCTGTCAGTGCTTTACCATTCACACAAATGTTTTGTCTCATACTGTGCAAGTCAGTGGTGACCACCTTACCTATATAGGGGACCTCAAGTGCTGCTCCTGACATTACCAACAGGCCACACATAATATTCAGCGAATGGAATGCTACAGAAAAGTGTCAGGAAATGCAGACATGCAACAGGAGATGGTCGGAGACCACACACACACTATAAGAGATGGTCAGAGACTACGCACATACAATAAGAGATGGTCAGATCGCACATGCTATAAGAGATGGTCAGAGACTGCAGACATGCAACAGGAGATGGTCGGAGACGACGCACATACTATAAGAGATGGTCAGAGACTGCGGACATGGTACAGGAGATGGTTAGAGACTGTAGACAAGATACAGGAGATGGTGAGAGACTGTAGACATGGTACAGGAAATAGAGACTGCAGACATGGTACAGGAGATGGTCAGAGACTGCAGACATGATACAGGAGATGGTCAGAGACTGCAGACATGGTACAGGAGATGGTCAGAGACTGCAGACATGGTACAGGAGATGGTCAGAGACTGCAGACATGGTACAGGAGATGGTCAGAGACTGCAGACATGGTACAGGAGATGGTCAGAGACTGCAGACATGATACAGGAGATGATCAGAGACTGCAGACATGGTATAGGAGATGGTCAGAGACTGCAGACATGGTACAGGAGATGATCAGAGACTGAAGACATGGTACAGGAGATGATCAGAGACTGCAGACATGGTACAGGAGATGATCAGAGACTGCAGACATGGTACAGGAGATGGTCAGAGACTGTAGACAAGATACATGAGATGCAGAGAGACTGTAGACAAGATACACTGGGGACATGCTCCGGGATACAGTCATAGACTGGAGAAACACTACAAGAGACTGCTAGAGATCACTGCTATTATACCCACTGTTTCCACATGTGTCCTTCCTACAGCCCCCTTTAAAATTACTTATGCCACAATTGATAATTCTCTCATTAAATTCCATCATAACAGATTCAAGGAAAAAATATACATAAAAAGAGAAAGAGGATTAATTGCACAGAAAAAAAAAATTAAAAATAGCATGAAAGAAATAAACCAAACAATGAAAATGTTTTTCCTTCACTTGCCTAAGTATGCACCAGAAAACACCACTGTCTGCAGGGGCCCCTACTGCCTAACATCCTAGGTCACTAAGATGCAAGTGGTTTACATGTGGTTTACATTTAATGCAGATGAAAACACATCCAGATTATGGAGCTGTGTACAGCTGTGTGCATGGGAACATAGCATACAATTGTGTCCAGATCCATCATAAAATGCATGCACTACAGATCTGAATGCGGCGTATTTTATGCCCGTGTGCATGAGCCCTTACTGGAAGCGTGGCTTTTCTTCCGAAAAGTAACCCATTATATTGGCATTTTTTTCAGAGGCTGCTGGGACAAGTATAAAAGTATCATTTTTAATGAAAGTGTAGTTATATTTAACACTAAGTTGAAGCACAATTCCACTTTTTTTTAATACACTGCTTAGAAGTTTTTAAAAGAAACCAGGTTTTGTTGCAATACTCCTGACATCGTCCCATAAAGACCCATGGCTCTAGGGTTCAGCACTCGTTGGAAGACATTCAACCTATTCCCTGGGAGCCCAGGGCATTATGGACCAATCCTGGAGGTGCCTATTAATGGCACACTGCACTCAGAACATAATGATGTAGAGAACATTGCAAATGCCATTACATCCAGGGCTGCTGTTAGTAACCATGGGGCAACCATACAGCCAACCTGACAGCCCCCCCCCCCCCCCCAAAAAAAACAAAACACTGTTTACTATGAGTCAGTTATGAATGAACACAGTGAGTGATCGGTCCCACTTGTGTCCATTCAGGAAAGATAAGAGCTGGTAATTGTGACATTTTCACCAGACCCTTCCCCCAGTCTCCATTCTGAAGGATCCTAATGTGTGCTTGTAGCTGCCGGTGGGAAGCAGAGGAGGGAAGCCAGCAGCACTGCAGTGTGGGGGGCACACAGGGGGGCACACAGCAGGGGTAATAGTATGGTGTACAGGGATGGTCATGGGTGCAGTGGGGGGCAATTATTGGAACCAATCCCCTGTATGGAGAGGAGAAGAAGCCTGCTTTCAGCTGCTGCAGAGGGAGCCATACAGGGGATCAGTTTCAGTACTTTCCCCCCACACTGTGCTGACCAATCTCCCTGCCCACATCCAATTCACTCAGCTGCCTGGGCCCCCCTGCTGGCCTGGGCCCTGTACAGGAGGACTGGTGGTACCCCCATATCCATGACCCTGATTACACTGGTGGCATTCTAAGGATGAGCAAATCTGCCCAAGTTTAATTCACCAAGGGTTCAGGGGTCCTGTTTGAAATTTGGCAAACCCAAGCAATGAATCCTAATGAAGTGATGGGGAGTGAATCCTGTTAGTAAATTCTGCCGATTGTGGGCTAATAGCCATACTAAAAAAGAAAGGTGTGAGAAGCTGAGTGCTGCCATGTGGTACCAATATGTATGTGGCCATGCCATGTGGCAACATGTACAGTGGGGATCGAAAGTTTGGGCACCCCAGCTAAAAATGTGTATTAATGTGCATAAAGAAGCCAAGGAAAGATGGAAAACTCTCCAAAAGGCATCAAATTACAGATTAGACATTCTTATAATATGTCAACAAAAGTTAGATTTTATTTCCATCATTTACACTTTCAAAATAACAGAAAACAAAAAAACGGCGTCTGCAAAAGTTTGGGCACCCTGCAGAATTTATAGCATGCACTGCCCCCTTTGCCAAGCTGAGACCTGCCAGTGTCATGGATTGTTCTCAATCATCGTCTGGGAAGACCAGGTGATGTCAATCTCAAAGGTTTTAAATGCCCAGACTCATCTGACCTTGCCCCAACAATCAGCACCATGGGTTCTTCTAAGCAGTTGTCTAGAAAACTGAAACTGAAAATAGTTGACGCTCACAAAGCTGGAGAAGGCTATAAGAAGATAGCAAAGCGTTTTCAGATGTCAATATCCTCTGTTCGGAATGTAATTAAGAAATGGCAGTCATCAGGAACAGTGGAAGTTAAAGCAAGATCTGGAAGACCAAGAAAAATATCAGACAGAACAGCTCGCAGGATTGTGAGAAAAACAATTCAAAACCCACGTTTGACTGCACAATCCCTCCAGAAAGATCTGGCAGACACGAGTTGTGGTACACTATTCCACTATAAAGAGATACTTGTACAAATATGGTCTTCATGGAAGAGTCATCAGAAGAAAACCTCTTCTACATCCTCACCACAAAAATCATCGTTTGAACTTTGCAAATGAACATATAGACAAGCCTGATGCATTTTGGAAACAAGTTCTGTGGACCGATGAGGTTAAAATTGAACTTTTTGGCCGGAATGAGCAAAGGTACGTTTGGAGAAGAAGGGGCACAGAATTTAATGAAAAGAAACTCTGTCCAACTGTTAAGCATGGGGTTGGATCAATCATGCTTTGGGGTTGTGTTGCAGCCAGTGGCACAGGGAACATCTCACGAGTAGAAGGAAAAATGGATTCAATAAAATTTCAGCAAATTTTGGATGGTAACTTGATGCCATCTGTGAAAAAGCTGAAGTGAAAGAGAGGATGGCTTCTACAAATGGATAATGATCCTAAACACACCTCGAAATCTACGGGGGATTACATCAAGAGGCGTAAACTGAAGGTTTTGCCATGGCCTTCACAATCTCCTGACCTCAACATCATTGAAAATCTATGGACAGACCTTAAAAGAGCAATGCGTGACAGACAGCCCAGAAATCTCAAAGAAATGGAAGACTTTTGTAAGGAAGAATGGGCAAAGATACCTCAAACAAGAATTGAAAGACTCTTGGCTGGCTACAAAAAGCGTTTACAAGCTGTGATACTTGCCAAAGGGGGCAGTACAAGATATTAACTCTGCAGGGTGCCCAAACTTTTGCAGACGCCATTTTTTTGTTTTCTGTTATTTTGAAAGTGTAAATGATGGAAATAAAATCTAACTTTTGTTGACATATTATAAGAATGTCTAATCTGTATTTTGATGCCTTTTGGAGATTTTTCCATCTTTCCTTGGCTTCTTTATGCACATTAACACAAATTTTTAGCTGGGGTGCCCAAACTTTCGATCCCCACTGTATGTACCAATACAAAAACAATAAAAACAAAAAAAGAGCAGCAGGTAGAGAGTATTTTCATGTGACACTGAAAATACACAAATAACATTGGGGGATGCCTTAAAGCTAAATGTGGTGCTAGGGAGCCGTATGATGTCACAGGCTAGGGAGCCGTATGATGTGCTAGGGAGCCGTATGATGTACATTGGCAATGCATATTTGGCGTGGACTTCATTTTTTTTTTGTTACAAATAGCTTGATTACATACTTCATTTGTACATCAGTGACGTCACCGTCATGCCTCCTTATGCCCAACTATGGTAACTGACCACGAAGAAGAGGAGCAGGAAGAACGGAGTTTGCCACGATAGGAACTACAGTGTGGAGCATGGAGTACGGCGATCTATCAACTTAATGGGAAGAGCAGGGGCGGACTGACAACTCATGGGGCCCCCGGGCAATAGGGGATCATGGGGCCCCTGTGTCCTTGCCCAAACTCAAAAAAGCCTATGAAAAGGTACCAGAGGCATCTCAAGGGGCCCCCTACTGACCCTGGGCCCTCGGGAAGTGCCCGAGTTTCCAAATGGTCAGTCCACCCCTGGGGAAGAGACATCCGATGTGGTTAGACACTTTCTCTTGGTACTAAGTATCACAACGGAAGGAGGCCAGCTCTAAGGAGAGAGTATATGGTTGCGGAAGCCATTAGCAGGCAGAGAATACTATCAGTTTGGCTCCCCAAGTCGATTTCAATAGGGTTGAGCCATAGCAGATGAATACAGATGGTATGTGATGCATGACATTACTGACTTTGGCTTGCTTGGCTTCTTTAATGGCTTCTTATTCCTGTTTGTGCTGCACCTCTCTCCCCGAGCTCTGCTGTCTCTGCTTACGCCGGCCAATTGCTAACATCCACTGGATAATTAACCTGCTGGAACTCACATGATGATTTATATCTGTGGATTGAATTTAATCTGCCACATATTTACTTTGGACTCCACTACCAGTGAATGACTATATATCTATTGGCACCCTTCTCGCTTACTGGCTGCTATCTGTCAACGCAATTACTCTCCATTGTGACATGTTCACTGGCAAGAATTCTATCTAAGGACAATGGGATCCTTCATCACATGTGACCTAGTTAGGTAGTAGCGCTAGTTCAGTTATTCATGTTCATGGGCCCTGGGGCAGATATGTAATGCATGACCGACTAGTCCAATTTTTAAGGCAGCATATGGCCTGCGCCTATCTCTGCCTTACATATATTTTTACTGATGTCTGGACATTGTTTTACATGCACGTTTGGTGTGGGTTGTGATTTGGTATGGAGCACTGAATCTTTATTTATAAATATACTATACATGACTATATTTTTGTACAATAAATTGCACTTTTTTGATAAGCCTTGTTTGCCGGTAGTGTAACCTCTTTTGTCTACCCAGAGGTTAGGATATTCATTTTTTGTTTGCTATGCTTGGTTATTTCGGCAACACTTAATTAGTGAATAGGCTAAATTGACTGTATGTCACCCTCCTTTTTGTTTTTTTTTTCAAATATTGATTACATACAGCAGCACCACCCCAATCTGATTCATTTCAATTAGAAAAATGGCATTTTCAGGTAGTTCTTGGAGTCACACATGCTTAATTCTTATGGATAGCTCAGTATCTAAAATGGTACCAGCTGACTGGTGAAAAGCCAAAAAAAAATATTTAAAAAAAAGGGCTGAGATATACACCTGGAAATTACAGGCCAGTCAGTCTAACATCGATAGTATGTAAACTATTGGAGGAGATGATAAGAGACTATATCCAAGAATTTGTGTATGAGAACACTATCATTAATAGTAATCAGCATGGATTCATAAAAAGCAAAAAGACCTAGTAGATCACAGGCTCAGCAATGGCATGCCAGCAAGAAAAGCTAGTAGACTATTAGCTTAGCATGCATTAAAAAGGGTATTTCCTTAAGAGATAAAATTATAATTCTACCTCTTTACAAGACTCTGGTTCAGCCACATTAAGTATGCCATCCAGTTGTGGTCAACAGGCCTCAGTAAGGTTGTGCTGGAACCAGAGAGAGTCCAGAGAAGAGCTACAAAACTAATAAGGGGACTGGAGGACCTTAGCTATGAGAAATGACTACAAGCACTAAACTTACACTTACCTGCCCCTTTATTAGATACAACTTGCTAGTGCCAAGAAATAACCCCCACACCATTGCACCACCACCAGCCTAAACCGTTGATACAAGGCAGGATGGATCCATGCTTTCATGTTGTGTACATCAAATTCTAACCCTACCATCTGAATGTCGCAGCAACTAGTCTGCCCATTCTCCTCTGACCTCTGACATCAACAAGGCATTTTCGTCCATACAACTGCAGTTCACTAGATATTTTCTCTTATTTGGACTAATCTCTGTAAACCATAGAGATGGTTGTGCGTGAAATCCCAGTAGATCAGTAGTTTTTGAAATACTCAGACTAGCCTGTCTGGCACCAACAACCATGCCACGTTCAAAGTCAATTACATCCCCTTTCTTCCCCTTTCTATTCTGATGCTCGGTTTGAACTTCAGCAAGAAGTCTTGACCACGTCTACATTCCTAAATGCATTGAGTTATTGCCATGTGATTGGCTGATTAGCAATTTGTGTTACCAAGCAATTGAACAGGTGTGCCTAATAAAGTGGCCAGTGAGTATATATATACAGTGCCTTGAAAAAGTATTCATATCCCTTGATATTTTCCACATTTTGTCATGTTACAACCAAAAATGTAAATGTATTTTATTGGGATGTTCATGTGATAGACAAACACAAAGTGGCACATAATTGTGAAGTGGAAGGAAAATGATGTGTGGCATGCATTTGTATTCAACCCCCTAAAATCTATTGAAACCAATTGCCTTCAGAAGTCACCTAATTAGTAAATAGAGTCCACCTGTGTGTAATTTAATCTCAGTATAAATTCAGCTGTTAAGTGAAACCCTCAGAGGATTGGTAAAGAACATTAGTGAACAAACAGCATCAAGAAGGCCAAGGAACGCACCAGACAGGTCAGGGATAAAGTTGTGGAGAAGTTTAAAGCAGGGTTAGGTTATAAAAAAAATATCCAAAGCTTTGAACATTTCACGGAGCACTGTTCAATCCATCATCCGAAAATGGAAAGAGTATGGCACAACTGCAAACCTACCAAGACATGGCTGTCCACCTAAACTGACAGGCTGGGCAAGGAGAGCATTAATCAGAGAAGCAGCCAAGAGACCCATGTCAGTGTCACTACTGTTAGCATGAGGCGATACCTAGACCCTACAGAGGTTGCACAGGCAGTCCAACTCCTCCAAGATGGCACATCAATACATGCCATTGGCAGAAGGTTTGCACAGTCTCAAGAACATGGAGGAGATTCCAGGAGACAGGCAGTTATTCTAGGAGAACTGGACAGGGTCGTAGAAGGTCCTTAAGCCATCAGCAGGACCGGTATCTGCTCCATTGTGCAAAGAGGACCAGGATGAGCCCTGCCAGAGCCCTACAAAATGACCTCCAGCAGGCCACTGGTGTGAATGTCTCTGACCAAACAATCAGAAACAGACTTCTTGAGGGTGGCCTAAGGGCTCGACGTCCTCTAGTGGGCCCTGTGCTTACTGCCCGGCACCACCATAGAGCTAATTGGCATTGTTCATTGAACATCAGAATTGGCAGGTCCTCCAAAGGTACCCTGTACGTTTCACAGATGATAGCAGGTTCACCCTGAGCACATGTGACAGACGTGGAGAAGCCATGGAGAACGTTATGTTGCCTGTAACATCGTTCAGCATGACCGTTTTGGTGGTGGGTAAGTGATGGTCTGGGGAGGCATACAAACTGAGTTGCTGCAATGACATTTGAGCAAAGTGGACTAGCCTGCTGCATCATTTTTTCTCTTTGATTTTCGGGGTGTCTTTGAATTCAGTCCTCTGTAGGTTGATCATTTTCATTTCCATCAAATGATGGGGCATCCTTACGTTCCTAACACATTACCCCGTCCATGTCAGTATAGAGATCCAGCAGGAGATTTTTCCCCATTGAGATCTGATGTGTTTTCAAAGTGTTCATTTAATTTTTTAGAGCAATGTATATATATATATATATATATATATATATATATATATATATATATATATATATATAAAGTATGCATATAACCTTGAACCAGTTCATCCCAGGGAATTGATCCCCAAAATAGGCCAATGTTAGTCATATCAGATGCTACCATTTTGTCTATGGATACCTTTACCAGAATATGTGTAATGTAATTATTGGACCATCACTTTAATTTTTGTATTGCTCAGCCACTCTGTATCTAAGGAAATGTCATCAGGTACTACCTGGGGATCATTCTTCTTTTCCCTCTAATCTTTGCATAGTTACCAACTGTCCCTATGTTCCTGGGATTTCAGGATTTGTCCCTGGATATTTCCTTCTCAACAAAATGTTTCTGTTTGGATTTTGAAGATGAACTCCAGGCTGACATAAAATAACACCAACACATGCAGTTGTGTATTCATAATTATCTGTTTTCAGAGTTTATAATTTGCCTTTCCCTCTTGTCAATATACTAAGGAAATTATTACATAAAATACTTTTTTTTTTATTACATACCTTATTTTAGTCCCATCAATGTCATTACTGGATCTGTGAGCTTATCTATGCCATGCAGGCAGATCAAGGCTGGTGGGAGGGGCTGGCTCGATGCTGTACATAGCTTCTGAAAAACATCACAGCCTTCTGCCCAGTTCTCCTTTAAACAGCCCTCAGCCCTAATGCAAACTCTGGGGAGGAGTCATGCAAATATCAAAATGATTTGATAGGTGACTGTCAATCTGGAAGAGTGGACATTCCTAGGTAAGCATTTACATGCAGACTGGCCTGGGTAATGCCTGCTTGTGATACTGGGCTTTCATGACTGAGAGAACAGAGATCCAATGAATAAAAGGAGTGGGGCAGGAGAGGAAAGGGTTAGAACAGGGTGCTCAACCTGTGGCTTTTGGGCCACATGTGGCCCTTGCAACCCTCTGATGTGGCCCTCGGAGCCCTCTGATGTGGCCCTCGGAGCCCTCTGATGTGGCCCTTGATCTCAAACCAGAGAAGCGCACTTCTATTATTTCCTGCAGGTTTGGTGCGATTTCTGAGAGTACACCAAAACTCCTGAATGCAGGGGTTTTGGTGCGCTAACAGAAAGTGCATGACACCCACAAGATATAATAGAAGTCTATGGCAAAGCTCAACTAACCTGCAGGAAAGCTAGAGGTGCACTGCGCTGCACTCAAGGTGCGGGTAAACCACAGCGCATTGGTGTGAAAGCAGCCTTAAAGTAGACTCAGGACAAAAAGGGCTTGTTACATTTGTGGTTTGGAGGGGGGGGGGGGGGTGCGTTAAAACCCCATAGCTGAGACATGTTTTTTACCCACACACCCCCAGTGGTGTAGCATCAGGGGTTGCAATGGTAACCCCACCCCATGCTCCAGGTGGCCCATGCGGCCTCCCTGTCATATTCTGTTCTACATTTGGACAAGAGGGGAGACAGGGACGCCATATACAGGAACCAATCCTTCCATTTTCCTGTTGCAACCAAAATGGTTTGAAATTCTGAACCGTTTCATTTTATTGTGGCCCGCAACACACTTAAGTGGCCCTTGCTCTTCAAAAGGTTGTACACCCCTGGGCTAGATGATGCTGGTTGCCCTGCAGCCAGGAAATGAAGCAGGCTCTGTTTGACATGCTGCAGCTTCTAATGCACATTGTGAGAAGTTCACAGTGTGCAGTGAAATCAGAAAGGAAGTTATTTCAGTCCAGAAGAGAAGCCAGTTAAAAAAAGTTAAAAAAATAAAAATTGTGAAGAAATATATACAGCTGTTTCTAACCCTGCCCATTTTCTGTAGTGATTATGCAGGATGACTTTACGTTTGATTTTTCCTTCTATGGGTCCAGGAACTCTGATGGAGAGGCAAAAAAACAAAGTTTACCTGTCGATAAATGGCTGGATGGGAGCGCTGCTGATGCGGGTGGAAGTTTCTAAACGTTCCCCCGCATCCACTGCCTGTGCGCACTCCCTGGGAGTGCGCAGCACCGCGATTGCTGATCACTGTGCAGGACCTCTGTGTGAGGTCCCGATTCATGTGATCACTGATTGGCCAATCAGGGATCACATGAACAGTAGTAAACAAGATGTCACTTCCTGACATCATTGCGTACTGCTTGTGAAATCTGTGAATGATCACAGAGGTCACATGGTACAAGGCTATTCACAACTGCCTTGTACCATGTGACAAGCTGTGACCAATCACAGCTCTCACAGTAGTTCTCAATGGCTGCAGGAATGCAGCCAGATAGGAGAACTTATTGCTTTTACAGCATTTATGGGTATAAAAGCAATCAGTGTAAAAAAAGGAAAAAAAAAAATCTTCATCACCCCCCACAAGTAGTACATGGTGACATTATACTGCTAGGGTGACCGTATGTTAAAAAAAACAACAACCCATAATTAATAATATTAACAAAATAAAAGGAAAAAATATTTTGAAAAATTATAATTTTTGGTTATAAACTAATTTGTTTTTTTTTTTTTACTAAAAAGATAGAGGAATACATTGTGGCCAAGATTTGTGAAGAAAGATTATTTATTTGCAAAATTTTGTAAGAAAATTTTTTCAAAATAGTTGGACTTTTTCATTTATATAGAAAAAAATTAAAAATCCCAGTGGTGAATAAATACCACCAAAATTTTTATCTGTCTCAAAAAAATGCTAAACAATTCATATGGGTACAGTGTTGCATGACCGCGCAATTGTCATTCAAAGTGTGATAGCGCTGAAAGCTGCAAATTGGCCTGGACAGGAAGGGGGTAAAATTGTCCAGACTTGAAGTGGTTAATTCGAACCCGTTTCGTTGTCTGCACTGCCTACTCTCTCTGTTTTTCTGTATCTGACATACTTATGTACATGTGTGCCGGGTTCTTGGTCCCCTGTGGAGCTCTGTGGTTCCTTCTGCCAATCCCTACCTTAGTATGGGACACATTGCTAAAGGGTAGAACCACAGCATTCAGCAGGGGACCAAGAATCTGACGCACGGTATACAGAAGAGTCATATACAGAAAATTATTGGCAGTGGAAGAGATCAAAGATCTGCAGTGCACACACTGAAACTATTGTTTTACAGACACTTTGTGCCTTTTTTTTTTTTTTTTTTTAGTTGTGATAAAAAAGAACTATGCAAAAAATGGTAAAAAAATGACATACATGATGCAGTCTGTCAATAGTAATGACAGTCCCCCCAAAATATCATTGCATCTGTTGATCCTACCAGCAGATATGTTCCTTTTCAACTTCCTTCAGCAAGATAACAACATTGTTCATTCTGCAATGAAATAACTGTAGTGTTGTCATCCTGTGGACCTGTCCTTTTAGAAATTTGGGATGGATTTACTAAACACAAATAGACTGTGCACTTTGCAAGTGCAGTTGCTCCAGAGCTTAGTAAATGAGGTAAAGCTTCACTGTGCAAGGAATACCCAATCAGGTGCAAAGGAATAAAAAACAGCATTTTTGCTTGCACATGATTTGGTGATGGAAGTCAGCAGAGCTTCTGATCATTTTTCTCCTAGATTGTAAGCTCCCAGGATCAGGCCCTCCTAACCCTCTTGTATTGAACTGTCTCGTTGCTGTATTGTCTCCCTTTATATTGTAAAGTGCTGAGCAAACTGTTGGCGCTATATAAATCCTGTATAATAATAATAATTTACCAAGCCCTGGAGCAACTGCACTTGCAGAATGCACACTCCATTTGCCGTTAGTAAATCAACCCCAGGGTAAGCAACAAATAAATTAGATCTCAGCTGCAGCTAACACTTTTACACCCCAGTCACATCAGGTGCGACTTGGTATGTAATTTGCATGCCCTGTGACTTGCAAATCGCATGCCAAGTCGCACCCTATTGTCCGCAACTGGAGCGTTCATATCGGTGCGGTTCTGGCTTGGTCAGAGTCGCACCGATTCAAAAGTAGTACATGCACTACTTTTGGTGCGATTCGCATAGACATCTGTATCAGATGTCTTGCAAATCACACCTGAAATTGACTTTGAAATCGTGCAACTTCACTGTAAGTCGCACGATTTCAAAGTGGGGCTTGATGTGACCGGGGGGGTTAAAGCAATCAGAGCCACAGTTCTTTTGGAAAAAAGGTTATATAAATAAAAGGTCTGTTGGAAGCACCCCTTGGCAGTTTTGTATGGTGGTTGTTGTCCATACCCATGTTACTTTTGCCTAGTCTGCATAAAAAAAGAAGCTGAATACTATCATTACATGTGTTAACTCCATAGAGCTCCTTCACAGTAACGGCCAGAGGGCAGTAAAAACCGGCGGTTGAGGCGCAGTTTTACCACCCCTGACCACTCAGCTAAATTCTACCATTGCAGCCAGTAGGGGCTGTACACATACCATGGCCATGGCGATTTTAGCTTAGCATGCAGAGTTTTAGGCCTCATGTACACGGGATGTTTTGAAAACTCTCCTAGAAGCTAGAGAAAACACCTGACGCTTGTCAAAGTGTCTAAGCGTTTCGGCATGCTTACAGACGTCAATAGCTTGGGTGTTTATTCATTTAATTGGCCAGAATAATAATTTTAGTCTGGCCATTGAAATTAATGCTCAGGAGCTTAACCACTTCCAGTCCGGACACTTTCACCCCCTTCCTGTCCAGGGCAATTTTCAGCTTTCAGTGCTGTCACACTTTGAATGACAATTGCGCGGTCATGCAACATTGTACCCATATGAATTTTTTACCATTTTTTTGAGACAGATAAAGCTTTATTTTGGTGGCATTTATTAACTGCTGAGATTTTTATTTTTTTTGCTATGTAAATGAAAAAGTCCAAAATTTTTGAAAAAAGTGTTTTTAAATCTTGGCCAAAATGTATTCTGTTATCTTTTTAGTAAAAAAAAAATAAGCCAAATTAGTTTATAACCAAAAATTATAATTTTTAAACATTTTTTTTACAATTTTATTTTTTTTATTATTTATGTTTTTTTTTTTTTTTTTTTACATACTGTCACCCTAGCAGTACAGTGTCACTGATTGCTTTTACACCCATAAAGGCTGTAAAAGCAATCATTTCTCTTTCTCTCTGGCTGCATTCTTGCAGCCATTGAGAACTACTGAGTGAGCTGTGATTGGTCACAGCTTGTCACATGGTACAAGGCTGTTGTGAATAGCCTTGTACCATGTGACCTCTGTGATCATTCACAGATTTCACATGTAGTAAGCAATGATGTCACAAGTGACATCTTGCTTACTACTTTGCATGTGATCACTGATTGGCCAATCTGTGATCACATGATCGGGACCTTATACAGAGGTCCCGTCCGATGATCGGTGTTTCACTGTGTCCGGAGGACACAGCGGGCACCGGATCGCGGTGCTGCGCGCTCCCAGAGAGTGTGCAGAAGCAGGGTGTGGGGAGGCTGTTTATAAACGGCAATTGTTTCCCAAGCAAAATACACACGTGATTTGCATGTCCGGGTAGGGGACGCACACGTGCTTCCCTGCCCGAGCCGCTTTTGGTGGCTAGGGATGTCAACCACCGGGTTCTGGCCTGTGATTCCAAGACGCCAATCGGCGAACGTCAGGGAAAGCTGACAGGGGAGAGACCTGTGCGTAAACAACAAAACTCTCTCTTCTGTCAGAAAGGACATGCTGCTTTCTATCTCTCTGCACAGCATGTCTCCCTAGCAAAACACAACACAGTGCACACAGTAAAACCCACACAGTTAACCCTTTGATTGCCCCAGATGTTAACCCCTTCCTGCCCAGTGTCATTAGTACAGTGTCAGTGCTTTTTATTAGAACTGATCACTGTATTAGTGTCACTGGGGATGTCAGTAGTAGTCAGTCAGTTCCCACCCAGTGTCAGAATGCCCGCCGCAGTCCCGCTATAAGTCACTGATCGCCGCCATTACTAGTATAAAAAAAAATCCAGTACATAGACTGCCATTTGTAGACGTTATAACTTTCACGTAAAGCCATTAATTTACACATGTTGGAATTTTTTTTAGCAAAAACATGCAGCAGAATACATTTTGGCCTAAATTCATGATGAAATTTGATTTCTTACATTTTTTACTGGACATGTTTTATAGCAAAAATTAAAAAAAACATTTTTTTTTTTTAAATTTTTGGTCTTTTTTTGTTTATAGCGCCAAAAATAAAAATGCAGAGGTGATCAAATACTACCGAAAGAAAGCTCTATTTATGGGAAAAAAGGACATCAATGTAATTTATATACAGCATTGCATGACCGCGCATCTGTCAGTTAAAGTGACGCAGTGCCGTATCGCACAAAAAGGCCTGGTCAGGAAGGGGGGTAAATCCTCTGGAGGGCATGTGGTTAATACAAATTCCCCCTTGGCATTTAAAAAAACCCAGACATTTAGGAGGCAGCTGGATCACCTTTTGAATACCTGGCAGCTGTTGCTCTGCCACCCTCTGAAAAGCAATCAATTGCAGATCGCTTTTCAGATCACAGCAGATACTGCCTCGCATGTAAAAGATCCCACACGGTTACCAGAACACCATATTGTGCAGGATAGTGGGCCTACTGAGTTTCTTTACATTTTGCACACAAAACATACTGGTGTGCATTGTGTAGGGGCAGTGAAGGGATTTTTTTTAAAAATACATTTCACTGTTGGCTTTTTTTCCTCTTTTATGTAACTTTATTCAACTCTATTCACTGCAGTGCAACATTCAGGGGTGCAGAGACACATAGTGAGGTGCAGTGCATCGCGTAGGAATGCGGCAAGTCCAGGGGCGGACTGTCCATTTGGAAACTCGGGCACTGCCCGAGGGCCCCGGGGTCAGTAGGGGGCCCCATGAGATGCCCCTGGTACCTTTTTCATAGGCTTTTTTGAGTTTGGGCAAGGACACAGTGGCCCCATAGTCCCCTATTGCCCGGGGGCCCCATGAGTTGTCAGTCCGCCCCTGGACAAGTCTGCATATTTACACAATGTAGTGCAATCCACCTCAGCAGGCCAGGGACAAGGCGTGGGCAGGGGGGCAGCTGCAACCATAAAACAAACAGAGGGCATACCAGCCTAGTGCATTATCCTAAGATATCCTTTATGCCCCGCACACATAAGAAAATTGTACAAAAATTTTCGCAGAACCACTGATCGAACGATTTTATCTTCGTTGATGAGCAGGATATTTTAACCGATAACAATATTGTGAATGAAAAAATCCGGTTGAACAACAATGAAATGTTGCAGTTTCTATGCGGTGGTATGACGGTTGTACGAAAAAAATCTATCAAGCGTTATCACTCATGAGCGGAAACAGAAGATGACCCGGATGTTTATGTCCAAGGAATCTTCAAAAACACGAACGAAAAATCCAAATGTTAAAAGTAGATTGGCCTAATGAGATCATGAAACCAGAATTCTGCAGATTATATTTTATGTATCACTATTTATGTATATAGGTCATGTAATAAACGATATTATACTCATTGCTGGTAATTGTTGTGTATATCGCTCGTTCTGGGCGGAAGGGCGTGGCTACAAGGTCACACGCACACCGCATCACTTCTACTTGTACGGAAGACATCAACACTACGCATTGCCCGACGAACGTTTTTTCTTTAGATTGGTTAATGTGAGCCACGATTTCGACCAACGAACGAACGCCTCTCGGTTGTCGGATGGCCGATCGGTCGATTTTCTGTGCGAGGTCCCGATCATGTGATCCCTGATTGGCCAATCAGTGATCACATGCAACGTAGTAAGCAAGATGTCACTTGTGACATCATTGCTTACTACGTGTGAAATCTGTGAATGATCACAGAGGTCACATGGTACAAGGCTATTCACAACAGCCTTGTACCATGTGACAAGCTGTGACCAATCACAGCTCACTCAGTAGTTCTCAATGGCTACAAGAAATCAGACAGAGAGGAGTGAATAAATACCACCAAAATAAAGATTTATCTGTCTAAAAAAAATGCTAAAAAATTCATATGGGTACAGTGTTGCATGACCGCGCAATTGTCATTCAAAGTGTGATAGCGCTGAAAGCTAAAAATTGGCCTGGACAGGAAGGGGGGGGAAAGTGTCCGGACTTGAAGTGGTTAAGAGGGACAGCTGCCCTGGGCACAGAGGAGCAAGCAGGCAGAGAATGGACATAGGGCAGTAAACCCATTCTACTGCATGCATTATTATTGTAGGAGGAGGTGCAGTTCCGAATGCTTGCCCTGGGTGCAGGATTAACAAATCCCAGTACTGCACATCAGTATGGTGTAATGGTGTGATCAATTGTTTTCTATGTGCCCTTGCATTGAGCCTGCGTGGATCTATGCAGAATAACACAGCTCAATGGACACAGTGCAAACAAGCCCTAAACCCAGCTACACATGAGTTGAAGTTCGGTTGCTTCAGCAGGGACTGGACAAATTTAATCCATGTACAGGCAGGGAGGTTGTACAGAAGTTGATCTGCTGAATAACTTCTGTACAACTGCCTTGTTGGATTTTTCCTGCTCGATCAGCACCACCGACTATATCCTGCAATACTGATCTGTATGCCTGCTGCCAAAATACAATAGTTCAGTAGGGAGGATTCCCCCATCCACTTCAAATGTGTAGATGGGGAAATTGAGCCCTAAAGCCAGCCATACATGGGTTGAAGTTCGGTTGCTTCCGCAGGGAACAAGCCATAAAGCCAACCATACATGGGTTGAAGTTCGGTCGCTTCAGCAGGGACTGGACAAATTTAATCCATGTACAGGCAGGGAGGTTGTACAGAAGTCGATCTACTGAATGACTTCTGTATAACTGCCCTGTTGGATTTTTTCTGCTTGATCAGCACCGCTGACTATATCCTGCAATACTGATCTGTCTCCCTGCTGTCAAAATACAATAGTTCAGTAGGGAGGAGTCCCCCATCCACTTCAAATGTGTAGATGGGGGAATCGAACCCTAAAGCCAGCCATACATGGGTTGAAGTTCAGTTGCTTCAGCAGGGAACAAGCCATAAAACCAGCCATACATGGGTTGAAGTTCGGTTGTTTCAGCAGGGACTGGACGAATTTAATCCATGTACAGGCAGGGAAGTTGTACAGAAGTTGATCTGCTGAATGACTTCTGTAACAACTGCCTTGTTGGATTTTTCCTGCTCGATCAGCACCGCCAACTATATCCTGCAATACTGATCTGTTTGCCTGCTGCCAAAATACAATAGTTCAGTAGGGAGGATTCCCCCCATCCACTTCAAATGTGTAGATGGGGAAATTGAGCCCTAAAGCCAGCCATACATGGGTTGAAGTTCGGTCGCTTCAGCAGGGACTGGATGAATTTATTCCATGTACAGGCAGGGCGGTTGTACAGAAGTCGATCTACTGAATGACTTCTGTATAACTGCCCCGTTGGATTTTTTCTGCTTGATCAGCACCGCCGACTATATCCTGCAATACTGATCTGTATGCCTGCTGCCAATATACAATAGCTCAGTAGGGAGGATTCCCCCATCCACTTCAAATGTGTAGATGGGGGAATCGAGCCCTAAAGCCAGCCATACATGGGTTGAAGTTTGGTTCCTTCCGCAGGGAACAAGCCATAAAGCCAGCCATACACGAGTTGAAGTTCGGTCGTTTCAGCAGGGACTGGACGAATTTAATCCATGTACAGGCAGGGAGGTTGTACAGAAGTCGATCTACTGAATGACTTTTGTATAACTGTCCTGTTGGATTTTTTCTGCTTGATCAGCACCGCCGACTATAGCCTGCAATACTGATCTGTCTCTCTGCTGTCAAAATACAATAGCTCAGTAGGGAGGATTCCACCATCCACTTCAAATGTGTAGATGGGGGAATCGAGCCAGTTTTCCTCAGTCAACCTGCTGGTTGAATGAAGAAACAGTCTAATCTATGGGCAGCCTTAATTACACACGGCTTGTCACAAATTCCCCCCATAAACCCGTTTCAGGATGTAGAAATGATGTATCTTGCCCCCCTAATCATCCAGTATATCAAGGAAACTTCTTCTAGATCTCTGTTCTTCTCCTATTCCCAGATCCTTCTTCCCTGCTGTGTGCACAGCCAAAGTTAACAATGGCAGTCACAAGACGTCGGAGGATTAATAGAGAATTGTGATCACTGGCCTGTAAAGATCGGACCTGTACAGATAAGTGACAGTGAGCAGACTCAGAACAGGGGTAGTAGGGTAGTAATAAGAAAGGGGTACTTACCGGGTAGTTGGTGGCTCCGTTACCTCCGGAGTGCGATTCTCTGGCAGGCTGGACCTCTCTGGAATCTGTGACTCACTCAGATTTCTCCTGGAGACTGAACTGTACTGAACACCTGAGTCAGAACTCCTGGGAGCTCCCTGCTGGGAGGAACGGTGTGCATACATCAGTGAATGTGTGTGCGTCTGAGAAAAATCTAATGTTAGACATTTGAAACTCTCTGCTTGGTGCTGTGCGTGATTTTAAAGTGCCATGTTCCAGGGCCGGATCCAGGGGGGTGATAGGGTGGACTGTGCTCCCCCAGATTTTAGTTGTGCCCCCCTAGGTCTCTAAGAATGCATCCGCCGATCCATGTCTGATTGGGGCAATTGTTGTAAGGAAACACTCTGATGTGGATAGTTGATGCAGGGGGCACTCTGATTAGAACAATCCGTGTAAGGGGCAGTGTGATGGGATTTACCTGATGTAATGGGGCACTTTAATGGGGACACTTGACGTAAGGAGGCACTCTAATGGGGACACCTGATGTAAGGGAGCACTCTGATGGGGACACCTGATGTACGGAAGCACTCTGATGGGGACACCTGATGTAAGGGGGCACTCTGATGGGGACACCTGATGTAAAGGAGAACTCTGGTGGGGACACCTGATGTAAAGGAGCACTCTGGTGGGGACCCTGATGTAAGGGAGCACTCTGACGGGAACCCTGATGTAAGGGAGCACTCTTATGTGGACACCTGATGTAAAAGAGCACTCTGATGGGAACACTTGATGTAAGGGAGTACTCTGGTGGGGACCCTGGTGTAAGGGAGCACTCTGGTGGGGACCCTGATGTAAGGGAGCACTCTGATGGGAACACTTGATGTAAGGGAACACTCTGATGGGGACCCTGATGTAAGGGAGCAATCTGGTGGGGACCCTGATGTAAGGGAGCACTCTGTTGGGAACACTTGATCTAAGGGAGCACTTTGGTGGGGACCCTGATGGAAGGGAGCACTCTGATGGGAACACTTGATGTAAGGGAGCACTCTGATGGGGACACTTGATGTAAGGGAGCACTCTGATGGGGACACCTGATGTAAGGGAGCACTCTGGTGGGAAAACTTGATGTAAGGGAGCAGTCTGGTGGGGACCCTGATGGAAGGGAGCTCTGTGGTGGGGACCCTGATAGAAGGGTGCATTCTGATAGGAACACTTGATGTAAGGGAGCACTCTGGTGGGGACCCTGATGGAAGGGAGCACTCTGGTGGGGACCCTGATGGAAGGGAGCACTCTGATGGAAACACTTGATGTAAGGGAGCACTCTGGTGGGGACCCTGATAGAAGGGAGCACTCTGGTGGGGACCCTGATGGAAGGGAGCACTGTGATAGGGACACCTGATTTAAAGGACTACTGTGGTGGGCACCCTGATGTAAGAGGGAATTGTGATGGGCACCCTGATTAGAAGGGGGCACCCTGATGGGGACCTGATGTAAAGCAGTACTTTGTTGCATCCTTATGATGTATGAGGGACTCTGATGAGGACTTCTGATGTAAGGGGAGACTCTGATAGGGATACCTGACATAAGGGTGCACAGGTTCTGTTTGATCACCGTAATCTAATGATTGCCTAATATATACTAGTGTTTCCCAGGTTGTGACACTGTGTGTGTGACAGACTGTTAGTGACTCACCCACAGTGTTTTTCACTGTACCCCCATATCATATAAGCTAGATCCAGCCCTGCCATGTTCACATTTTAAGGCCTTGTTCATTTGGTCGGCAGAGGGCGGTGAAAACAGGCGACTGATCCATTGCCGGTGGACAGGACTAGACACTAGACATGCACACTGCACACTATAATATGTCTAAGGCGCCTAACAGTGCCACCTATTAGTGCTGCCTTTCAGTACCCATCAGTGATGCCTGTCAATGCCCATCAGTGCCACCTACCAGTGCCTCCTCATCAGTGCCACCTATCAGTGCCCATCAGTGCAGCCTATCAGTGCCCATCACTGCAGCCTCATTAGCGCACATCAGTGAAGGAGAAAAATCACTTATTTACAAAATTTTATAAAAAAAACTAAGAAAAAACTTTTCAGTTGTTTTCAGTTTGTTTAGCAAAAAAATTAAAAACCCACCAAAAGAAAGCTCTATCTGTTTCAAAAAAAATTATAAAAATTTCATATGGGTACAGTGTTGCATGACTGTGCAATTGTCATTCAAAGTATGACAGCACTGAAGGCCAAGCAGTTACCGTGAAGCAGGCCATGGCCTAATACCGGTGTTGTTGGAATAAACTGCAGGTGGCTATGTAGGGGACTGGTTGCTACGGAAACCACCCAGGCCTAGCAGTTACCATGGGGCCCAGTCAGACACCAATGTTGTTAGTAATGGCAGACTGCTGTACTACTGTGTAGGGGTCCGATTGCTATGGAAACCACCCAAGCCAAGCAGTTACCGTGGGGTACAGTCAGATACCAGTGTGGCAGATTGCTGTGTAGGGGTCTGGTTGTTATGGAAACCATCTGGGCCAAGCAGGTACCGTAAGGCCTAATACCTTTGTATCAAAAAAAACTCTAATTACAAAGTGATCTGTATTACCCATTATGCTGTGAATGTAATAACAAAATGTCTTTACAAACAGTAAGAGATTTTCGGACATTTATCTAATTGCTGAAGACCGCAGTATACATCCTCCCCCAGTGACACCAGGACAAGAAATGAACCAGTGTGGGTGTCACTGGAACAGGAAGACAGTGCACAATAAACACATGACATATTCCACACTTTGATCTTTTTTTTCTGAATTTTTCCCCATCAGAGGCTGCAAAGCATCTCAAATTGACCGCCATATTGACCGCCATATTGAGATCCTTTGCTCTGCAGAGGACAGGATGCATGTGGAGCTCAGGCCTTATAGTGAACTTACATGTATTTCATCATTGGCATTACCCCGGTAACTACTATTTCATGTTATATCATGACACCACGGTCCACAAATACAGTACATTTAGGATGTAGGAACCAAACTCCATCCTATGTGCAGCATCCTATGCAGTCTAAGCATGTTCCCCCATGGCTACGGTGGCCCCTCATCCCTTTAGAACCGAACACATATTAGTGACACAGGTTCTGGGGCTGATTAAGGTGGGAATTAAACTCACTTGGTGCCTGATCTGCATTAAATCAGCCCCAGAACCCGTGTCATTAATATGTGTTCGGTTCTAAAGGGGTGAGGTGGCAACCCTGCCCGTGGCCCCTTACTTTACCACCCCTGGGGTCCCTCCGCTCTGTCCTACCTACTGCTACCGAAGGTCAATATGCCGGCTGAATTATCAACTGCCAGAAGTGCTTTGGGCGGCTAGAGGTTCCGGTGTCTGAATAATGGGGTGGGGCTTAGTGATGGGTGGGGTGTGGCTTAATGATGGAGAGGCAGGGCTTAATCCCCATCGGCATGCACAGCCTGGGCGTAGGATCCAAGGGTGCTCCAGGGGGGACACAGGGCTTGATCTATAGATATATAAAGCAGAACTAAACCCTTCTATCCTTTACTTCCAAGGAAGCTGCCATCTTAGCAGTTGCCATGGTGCTGCACACGTGATCAGTTATGACGCCAGCCATTAGATGGGTTGACAGTTCAGTTGAGAGCACAAGCAACTGTGACAGTTATCATTCACAGAATGCCTTATTTGCACTTTTAATACAGGTTCAGGGGCGGACTGACCATTTGGAAACTCGGGCACTGCCCGAGGGCCCGGGGTCAGTAGGGGGCCCCATGAGATGCCCCTGGTACCTTTTTCATAGGTTTTTTTGAGTTTGGGCAAGGACACAGGGGCCCCATGATCCCCTATTGCCCGGGGGCCCCATGAGTTGTCAGTCCACCACTGTACAGGTTTCCCCCACTCCAAGACTGTTGGAAAGTAGTTCAGGCCAGGTTCGGCCTAGGCTCACCACACAGGTTACAATCTGACTGTACAATCCCCTTTAGTCTAGGTCAGGGGCAGACTGATCATTTGGAAACTCGGGCACCGCCCGAGGGCCCAGGGTCAGTATGGGGCCCCATGAGATGCCCCTGGTACCTTTTTCATAGGCTTTTTTGAGTTTGGGCGAGGACACAGGGGCCCCATGATCCCCTATTGCCCGGGGGCCCCATGAGTTGTCAGTCCACCCCTGGTCTAGGTTCACACCTAAGTGTTTTTCCGCAGATTTTTGCGTTTTGCAGAAACACACAGCAGTCCATTTAACATAATAATACAAAATATAAAAAAAAATGCAGCGCTAATCACAAAAACAAAAATTCCAATAAAACATAAAAAGTTCCAATTTATAAAAGTCCCAAACAAATTCCCACGATCCACCATCACCAGGACACCCAAATGGTTCAGCCTCTTACCAGAAATTCTGACCGAATTACACCAGCCAATATAGACAACTCCAATGGGAGATGAACAGATGAATCATGGAATCAGTAGTCCTCATCCAGGTTGATATCAATCTTTCCCTTTAACCTCTTCACGCCGGAACAAATGTGCAGGATCCCGGCATCTGGGACTTTGTGTGCAATTAAGAAAAACATATGCGCCCTGCGCGCTGCCAGCACACATGTCCAGTACTCACGGAAAGGTCCCGATCTCCTCTTTCGATCGGGACCTTATGTGACCGCCGTGACGGCGAATCACGGCAGTCACACGACCCTAAAACCCTGCCCCGCCTCCCGGCTTCTGAAACCCTTAAAGGGCTGGGAGGCGGCGGCGCCAAAGGGTTAAGGATCTGAAGTTGGTCCTAAAAGAATACTCTCGTCCAATATTTAAGTAAAAGATAAAAGAAAAAAGCCACTCATAGTGTAGTATTTGAGTAATAAATGCACCCTGTTTAATTTCAAGTTACTCGTACATTGTTATGGATGGTTACCAGCATTTGTATTAAGTTTCCAACCAAGAAAATGGCCGCCGTCACTCCAAAATGTGCTGACGTCACACGCCCAAGCTCCAGCCGACGCGTTTCATCATCCAATTGAAGTGGTTTTTTATATTTTGTATTATTATGTTTATTGTCTAATGAGCGAGCTGCTTTTCTATGTTATTTGTCTAGTTTAGTTACCTAAGCACAGGCTTTTTGTTTTTTTGAGTCCATTTAACATGATTTCCTATGGGACACGTTCACATCTCTGCGTTTTCACCCGGTGAGTTTTTTTTAAATGGTCAGGGACTTTTGCAAATGCAAAACGTTGCGTTTTTGGTTCAATAGACTTCAATGGAAACGCTGCAGAAATGCAGTAGTGCATTTTTGACATATTTTTAATGTGTTTTATTCTGCCCAGCAACAAGTTGAAAAAAACCCCCGCAAAACACGTCAAAAATGCATGTGCAAAAACGCACTGCAGAAACGGAACAAACGCAAACTGCATAGATGTGAACCTAGCCTTAGATCTGCTATGAAGTGCCTGATTGGATACCAATTGATTACATTGATTACATAGGTTTCCATATTACATAGATTTGGTAAATCTAAAGTTGATCGCACAAAGATTCTACGGACCGAATATAATGTGTAAGGTGACCCTTACTTTAGGGCTCATTCACACCATCCTCGCCAGGCTGCTTTTTTGTGACAGTTCAATAATGTTTAACCACTTGCAGACCACACTCCCGCAATCTACTGCAGAAGGGCAGCCGCACAGGCAAAGCGACGTACCCATACGTCGCTGCCTGCTTTTGGGTATGGGGGATCGCATGCGTAGCCTCCCCCCTTCCACCGCTGGCATCCGCTGTGATTGGCTGTGTCCAATCACAGCCCAGAGCTCTGTGCTGACAATCAACACAGAGCTCTGAAAAGAGGGAATTATCTCTCTGCTTCTCGTCTCGGCAAAGCAGGGATGAGAAACTAATAGATCACAAGAAAAAAGCAGCACCTTTTACACATAGTTGGGCACACATTTAACCCCTTAAACACCCTACATGTTAACCCCTTCTTAGCCAGTGACAGTGTATAGCAGGGGTGTCAAACTGGCGGCCCTCCAGCTGTTGCGAAACTACAAGTTCCATCATGCTTCTGCCTTTGGGAGTCATGCTTGTAACTGTCAATCTGGCAATGCCTCATGGGACTTGTAGTTTGGCAACAGCTTGAGTGCCCCCAGTTTGACACCTGTGGTTTATAGTATGATCACTGATCACTGTATTAATGTCACTGGTAATTTCATTGGCAGTTAGTTCCCCCAGCGTCAGTTAGTTTTTTAGATTGCCCGCCGCACTTTTGCAAACCCACTATAAGTCCCTGATCACATTAGTAGTATTAAAAAAAATTCAGTATATATACCATAGTTTGTAGACACTATAACTTTAATATAAACCAATCAATATACACGGATTATTGTTTTATCAAAGACATGTAGCAGAATACATTTTGGCTTAAATTTTTGAAATTTGTTTATTTTAAGTAGAACTATAGGCAAAACGTTTTTTTTTTTTCATTTTGGATAGAGTAAGGGAGGGTTA